AATTACTCAACTTTCGATATAACAAAAAAATCAATATTATACATACATACATACTTTTGTGAAACATGCGACAAGAGCTAAGATTTTGGAAAATATTATTAATTGCTGCCATGACTATGCAATTAACAAATGATGGCAATACGAACAAAAAGGATCCCTGTAACGCAAAACCTACTTTATTGTCTGCCCATTGCTTTCGGAGCAACTGAAAAGTTATCAGGAAAGTTTGTAAGAACTCGTATTTCCCGCGACGAGACAGGCTATCGTCAATATAGTGTGGACTGGGATCGGGAGCACGGTCAGGGCGCTCGGCGGCCGCTCGCCACACTACGGAAGTAATGAACTTGAATGCATCGCCGAGTCGCGCCGCGACGCGCCGCCGCCGCCGTCCCGCTCGCGTCTAGCCGGTGCGCTCTAGGCGCGAGCGTGATGCACTCGCTGCACTCGCTGTCAAATTCGTCCGCATTCTCCATCACGGGCCGCTTTCGTCGTCGATGCGTTTATCGGAACGAGACGCGAATATGTGTGTCGATTGCATTCTCGTCGTCGTAAAAGTGCATCTAGGTCGGTCGGCGTAGCGGCGAGCGGTTAGTGCGAAGCGCTCCGCCGCTAGACGTGGGGCAGGTCGGAGCTGTGCAATGCGCTGCGCCCGGCCGCGGCACGCGCGCTAGCCCAGCCGGCGGCCGCGCGCCATGCGCCCGCTGCGCTCACCGAGCCCGCTGCCCTCAGCGCCAGCCGCCGGCACCATCATATGCCGCGCGACATCCGCCACAAACGTCGGTCAACAACCCTTGTTTGTTACCAATAACAAAACTAACATCTAACGTTACCATCGAGAATGCGCTAAAAGTTTTTGTAAGTATCACGAAGATTTTAAACTTCTCTGAAATTAAAGTTCGATTTTATTAAATGCGGAAGTTACATGTAAACAAAATATAAAAATTACCGGAAGACGATCTTCTTAACGATGAAATAAAAATACTTGTAGAGATGTACATAAATCTGTGATTTTGATTATCTGTACAATCATTTTAAATAGTAATTAAATTTAAGAGGTTCCTTTCTTCTCCGGTTTTTAAATATTGTAACGAGAATATTTACATTAATAGTGAAAGTTTATTAATAGAATAAATAAATATTTGAGGTAATGTTACTTTTTTTCCAATCACATGCTATTAGTTGATATCAACGTTCACGTATCAATTCCGCCTCAGCGGTAGGCAACATACGGTCTTTATCTAGCCGGTACTCTGTCTATTTGTAGTGGAAACATTGGCGTATTAAATTATTATTAGACTGCAAGGTTAGTTCCCGTTGCACACTTGCATGTGCAAAATTTCTTAGCAATATAATGGACAAATCGAATTACTCCATGTTTCTAAAGGTAAGATTTTATATCTGTTACAAAATTCGCTTTATTCTTATCTTGCATTTAAACCTCTGTTATATCCTCTATTTCACAGATCATATTTTTTAATAAACAACGATTTAAATTTTTGTGTAATTTACTTTGTACGATAGAATCCTTTTGAGTATTTTGAGTATTTGAGAGTTTTGAATATTTCAATTATGATTAAGATCCTTTTAAGCAATTTATTCAATTATTGTGAAATTATTCAGATTCTTAAATTTAATAGTGCTTTAGATTAAGTACATTTTTTCAGGCTTAATAAATTGCCAAATGCCATCAAAATAATAATGTTTTACCTATGTAAAATCCCCACAAACTGATTAATATAAATAAGCATAAGAAAAAGTAAATAAAAATTTATCAAAAACAACAAAAAAAAAATTATTCGTTTTCATCATACTAATGTTATAAATGCAAAAGTTTAGATGGATGGATGTTTGTTAGAGTTTGTAGAGATGATTGAACCTAATTGGATGAAATTTGGTATAGATGTAGAGGATACTCAGAAAGGACACATAGGCTACTCACTTTTGTGTTTTTTTATTTCCACGCGAAAGGAGTCGCGGGCGTAAGCTAGTTATTAATAACTCGTAAAAATATCATATGTTATAATCGTAAATGAATGAGTAAAAGAAATATAAATACACAATTGCAATAACCTTACATAATGTGTGAAAAAAAAGATCGCGTGTTGCCAAGTTAGCGCATCGGTATACGTCAGCGCAGCGCGGCGCATAGGGCAAGTTCACGATCACTCCAAGGCCTAACTTCCTGATGCGCGCGCGCTGTTATGCGAGTAATATCACGATACTTCGTTATCATTACGTTCTCTATTCACACGTTCAAACTGAATGACATTAGATACATTTATAAGATTTATATGATAAGACGACATTCAGTGAATAAATAGATCCTAATTAAAATTTAATTATGAATGAAACTTTAAATATTCGCGGCTTACGTGTCTGGTAGTTTTTTCTCTGTTTCCTGTTTAGATTAGCTATTGAAAGGCAAGCGTAGATAGATCTCTCCCTAAGATATATCTGCGAAAATAAATATTAACTACGTATTCTTGTCAATCTTGTAGGATATGCTTAAGAAAGTAGTGGTTTCAGATATGACGACTGATAGATATGTATGGAAGAACAGCACATATTGTGCCAACCCTCATGATGGATAAGGGCAAGTTGATGATGTATTCTTGTCAATAATAGACCGTACGGAGTAGAGATCCAGTGGTGTAACTATATTTTACGACTTATTAACAATCTACAAAATATTTTAACTTACTACCGCTGTTGATAGTTTACTTTTGCTTTTTAATGCCTTAATTGTGTTCCTTTAGTAATGCAATTAAACAAAAGAAAACTATATTTTTCTAATAAGATTTCAAAGAACGTTCCATGTTAAGATAGTTTGCTCGAGTCCCCATGCAGTAGAGGTCACAGAACAAGTCGCGTGCGCTGGTAATGTGACGCGTGTGTTATGTAACTTACCCGTGCCCGGTCACGTGACTCTCTGCCCTACAGATGCACTATTAATAATAACATAACAGATGAGACTGCTTCTAAACGAGATTATAACGCATTTGATATTGAGAGTTTAAAAGACGGATTTTATTGGAAAAATAAATTGACATGACTAGTAGATTTTAATAGAATAGTTAGTAAAAACAATATTTTATTTGAATAAAAATATAACAAAAGCGGCAACTTATAGTTATTTTAATAAAATAATCGTTAAATGTAACTTTTGAGCAATAAACATTAAAATGGTAATTCCTAAGCCCTTACTACATTTTCATTTTTTTATGAATTTCATGTGAAAAGTGTACAATTTTTTACAAAATGAATCTTTCTTTATAGGCACGTCTTCTATTATAAAATTAGACCAAGAAAGATTGTCAATTATTAATAAAAATTATAATTGCATATGTTTAGATAGTGAAATTGTTATTGAAAAATATAAAAGGTTGTGAGAAAGTGGAAAAGTTAGAATGTAAAGAATTATGTTTCCTTATATCTTAGTAAACTATCGTTTGATGTAAATTATACAGTTTTGTTGAGCAATTATGGTTTTATAACAATATTATGCATAATATACATGTTATCATATTTGCTATAGGCTGTGCAAACTCATCTTGCAACGCTACTGGCTATAAATAACGAACCGGGAAGTAAGTATATTGTTAACAATTATAAGTTAAATCTAATTATTTATTTAAAATTACTAAATTTCAATCTATAAACAACATAATATATCATGAGGAGTTTTAAAATAATTGGATATTAACGTAAATTTTACATTATAGGTAATATATTTAAAGATTTACTTTCTAATATTAATACTGTACTTGCATAAAATGTATTGTTTTTTTTAACATATGTTATTTGTTTAAGATTATAGGATAAAATAACTGTCAATTTTGTATTTTTCCAATATTGTTATAAGTAATTATTTTGTACGGAAATATAGAAATAAGGTTACCGTAGGCCAATGTTTATTTTCAGGTTTTCCGGTTACACGCTAACTGACTTAATCCGAAATTGTTATGAATCGTCAACAATAGTTAAGCTTGATTTAGGCTATAGGGTTTCGATCTACGGCTTTTTCCTATGAGAATGTAAATATTTGTGTTTCATGCCACTTTACACACGATTGCGTAAGGAACATTGTTGGTGTGTTAACGATACATTTTGTGCCTTGTTTACATGTTAAATTTGAAAGCGATTTATAGGAAAAATTCTTGTTGATTGTTCAATCGGTAGTAAAGATTTCGTTTTGTTTTACTTCTTAGGTACTTAATGTGGTTGCGACATTGGCATTACCAAGAATTTATATATATAAAAATAATAAATCTTACTATTACTTTACTAATATTATAAAAGTGAAAGTTTAGATGGATGGATGGATGGATGGATAGATGGATGGATGTTTGTTAGAGTTTATAGCCTAAACGGCTGAAGAGATCTTGATGAAATTTGTCATAGATGTAGAGGATAGTCTGGAAGAAGACATAGGCTACTTGCTTTTGTTTTTTTTTATTCCGCGCGAACGGAGTCGCGGGCTAAAGCTAGTTTAATATATTACTAAGATTTATTTTAACAACAATTATTCTCAATTGGATTGTTAACGAATTCTGTTTTTGTTCATGTTTTATTTTTAATATGATTTCTATGAAGGTTTACTCTTTGCCCATGACGAACACTGAATACTGGTAGGGTGGCCATCTTGTGAAACTGAAGCCTACATGTATTTGATAATTGGTTGTTGTTTTAAATTAATTTGTAATATGATCTTATTATTGTTTTTGTGTTTAAATATTTTTTTAGTATTAAGAATTTTTCATCGTACCTAGTGTCTTTTAATTTATTATTTATATTTTAACATATATCTTTAGAATTTTGTAACTGAGACTTTCCGTGTTCAACGTGCCAATTTGGCAAATATTCAATGCTTTACTTTAGAACATTTAAATCAATTTACAAACGCAGTTTTAAACTATGTACCTTCTTACATAACAATCGAACCTCATTCTAATACTACCTTTAATTTTAAAAATGTTAATAAAAAAATTGTTTCTTTTCAGGTACACATAATTATAATAAACAAAAAGAAAATCCTGAAATAAGGAGTTATTTACCTTCAAAATGAGACTGGTAAGGATTAAACTTATACGTATGACAACATTAATAAAAAAAAATTGAAAATTTCTTCAATTTTTAAACTATTCAAGGAAATAAAACATACCAGGAATATATTAAAATTTTGCGGAAAATATAAATAGGCATACAGGGCAGTCGGTGCGCACTGGAAAGTGCGCACTTATTACAAAACTGGGTCAGTAGTGGCACCGCCCATTTATCGAACAGCACTCTTCCACTTTTATTTAGCCAAAGTAAACTCTTCGCCCCAAACATTACGACTCACACTCCATTGTTACTTTAAGAGTGCAGATGGAAAAGGGTTAAATGCAGTTCGTTTGCATATTTTCGGGAATCCAAATTTATTCGTTGCCTGACCTATTATTTTACATAAAAGTACTTCGAATTGACCTTTTTGTTTTAACCTACGTTAAAGACGACCCGCGAGATAATATCAAAAAAAATTAAAACAAATTTCGTGCCACTACTTTCCATTTCAACGTAACGTACCGTGCAGGGTTCTAGCTAGATCGGCCAAGTTAATATGTAGATGTAAACAAAACCTCAGTCTGATCGAGAGACCATCAACGGCAATATAACTAATATGTTCTCGATCGTTACAACACGGAAATGACAAACAATGTTGTACCCCGAACTAAATCAACAATAGATCTCGAAGAACATGCCAATTTCCCTTCACTACACTTACTTGTGATTAGTTTGAAATGTATACAATTAGATAAGGTAATTCAAAAGTTTTACATGAATGAGTCAAATTTAAAAAATTAGGCAAAAATCGTCGTAACTATAAAGTATTAAGAACGATTGTTGAAAATGTTCTTCTCGTCTAATATTATTTCCATAATAACGTATGTACACGTTGTCAGTTCCCTACTTTAGTATTGTTTTATAAAATTTGATTGTCGTTTACAGTCAACAAGCGAAGATGTTCCGAGCACGACTGTGGTCGGCCGCACGGGTAGCCCCGGCAGCACAAATGCTGCATCGGCGGCAGCAGTGGTCGGAACCGGCGCTTACGATGTGACGAGGATGAGGGAGGAGGAGTTTGAGCGGCTCACTGTATACATAGTGCCTGACGTGCCGTGTGAGAGAGGGACGCCCAACAGAGCAGAGAAAACCTTACCCAGAAGCCTCGCATTAAGACCCTCCGTAGTGCTATCAACGCCTAATACACCGGTAAGAATTGGGTTTTTTTACTCTGATCTGTCAAAGCTAAAGCGCCTAACCGCTAGCAGTAAAATTTCCAAATTATATGAACACTAAATTCCAATAGGAAATTGTTTATGGAAAGAATTTGATCTATGGTATGTTCACAATTCACATGAAACGCCGTAGGTAATGTTACTAAACATTTAGTAAATCAACTTCTGGTTTTTCTTTAGCGGGTGTTAGCTTGTTTTCTAGCACAGAGAATTTACATTTTGTTTTAATTTGATTAAACCAATATAATTGAAATCAAAATTATTACAGACTGAAGGAGTATGGAGTACGGGCGTTATTCCCCGCGGCACTCGCTTCGGCCCGTTTGAAGGCACAAGAACGCCTAACAAACCCAACGACAAAGTTTCCTGGCGGTACTATTGGAGGGTAAGTTATATCATAATACAATCAGTATTAACCGCAATTATTTATACTCCGCTTATTTAAATATTCTATCCCCTATTCAAACAGGGTTAAGGCTTCTCGATGTAAATAGTTTGAAATTTCCTATCCGCTGGTATTAGCTTACTTTGCTAAAAGCAAAATACGAAAAACTTCATCGTGTAAATGCTTCTATATAAAAATGCACATCTCTCTTCTCTAACTAACCTATTCCTCTCTATGTTGGGCCAGGTACAGGAAACTGTCAGACATCATACTTATGGAAATATTAAGGTGAGAATAGGCTTTAGAACTTTTTATATGGTGGTGGGTTTTTCCAATGAAAAGCAAAAATATACCAATGTATAAACGCATGCATACCTTCTAAAATTAATTTTAAATTATAAAATGTTTGAGATGCAACAACTAAATAAACGTTACAATACAAACATATGTTATCTTCCGCGTCTAAACGACACGCGACTTGCATCTAGTCCTTGACTCCCGATCGCAAGTAGTCGCTATCAGTTTCACGCGCGATGCAAATACCATACACGTGCCACGTGCTATATTGCCTTAGACAACAGCTTCACACTACATTTAGTACATCACAGCTATAAAACAAGCTCTAAAACTTCAGTATTCAGCAGATTCAGCTCATCTAATTTGGACTTTTACACAATCTAAAAATTCAAAGTCTCTACTTTTTTTCATGAGCAGATTTTAAAATTTAAAACATATTTTTTGTAACAAAATATTTTTTTTTCTTACAGATATTTAAAGATAGTGATTACTATTACCTGGACGGATCGGACACGAGTGTTGCGAACTGGATGCGTTACGTGGCCTCTGCCTACTCCCTCTCTGTTATGAACCTCGTGGCTTGCCAGCATCAAGAGCACATATACTTCTATACAATCAGGTAACACAAACACGGAACTATTGTTATATCATTCACTTTATAGTCAAGTGTTACTTTATTTGCACATTTCCGCAAGTCACTTATCACTAACATTTTTCACTTACACTTTTGTTATTTTATTTACAGAGATATTATGCCAAATGAAGAATTAATGGTTTGGTACTGCAAAGACTTTGCGACAAGGCTAGGATATGATATCGATCCTGAAAGAGCAACTTACTCAATTTGTAAGCACCTTTTTGTTATTAAAATTCTTAACGTAAGTTTGGAAGGAATTATAATTACTATAAGACTATTTTATTTCACAGGTAAAGAGGAAACTATCAAAAAAGCATATGGCATACCCCCGGCTCCAGTTCATCCGGAGATTGCATTTAACCACATGAAGTACGTGCTCGGCTTAACGAACCCTAAAGAACTTCTAGAAGCTGATATTCCCACCCGAAGAATAAAACGTGAATCTATTGAAAAGGCACACATCGACAATTATACACCACGTGAAGATCCTCGAATAACAAATAAGAACGAAAGGACAATTATAAGAACCGATGTATCGGGTAACATTATGCATCACAAATCAATAAGTGATAACCAAATGGCCAGTGAACATAGAACGTTATCGCCGAATGGTCTTATGCAGCCTCCGTCACCAGTCAAAATGCACCATAGAGACAATCAGACTTTAATCATTCATCAACACAAAGAAAGTACATCGCATGTAGTAATACATCAACTTGATAATCCTAGATTACATGGCAACAGGTCACCAGGTCAAAACATACATATGAGAGATATGCGAGGACCTTCTCCGATGTTACAACATCACCAGGACAAACTAGGAAGTAAGTCACCCGGCTTAACTCACTGCAGCGCTCAACACTATGAACATCAACTGACGCCAAATGACGGTTCAGTAAGATCAGATGAAGGCTACCACAGCAATGGTTATCATGACGAATTTACACCACCCGAGGATTCCAGCGATTCAGACGTAGATTCCAACTATGTTCTTGATTGCTCGAATAAAACAAATGAACCAAAAGAAACTGTCATAGTGCAAAAAATGGATCAAGATATGCACCGAAATGAATACAGAAAAGTTAAAATAAAAATGCCAAGAGCATACCAATACCAGCATCACAAAGACATGGACTGCGACAGTGAGAAAGAACTGATTATTGCGGAAGACGTGGCTAACATCTCGCCACAAAACTTATCTCCGCCGAGGCGTGACCCAGCCACTTCTACTGTAATAGTCTTAGAATCGTCACAAAACACAGTTGTTCCTATCAATAAGCCTTATTATGAAGACGGTACAATATCTCCAACACCACAACCGGCCTTCATGAGATACTCTCCGCCTGATACACGGATATTAGAAACCATTTTAACTGGAAGTAGAATGGATACAAATAACAATGATCCCAATCGCCGTCAACCTAACGCGACGCCACCACCATCGTCTCCTACTGAAATGGCATATTCATACAAAAAGAGTCAAAGGTACGGAAACGCCTGCAGCCCAGATTCTAGTTCCAATTTAACACCCTTGCCATCACTGCTGCCTTTACCACAACAATTACCGGCGCCCAACGCTACCTCCGTCTACTCATCATCGCCGCCGCACGCTATCCCACATACGACAGAAATTAGAGAAATACGAGAAATACGCGAAATAAGAGAGACAAGATATGAAAGCCACTACCCAAATTACTCATACAGCTTATACTCACCACCCAATTCTACTATTATCACGCAACTTGGATCACCGCCTAGCACTTATTCACCGACCGTGTCATCCACTCACCAATATGAAAGGTCACAAAGCGCTCAAAGCAACCATCACTATCCTTCGTCGACTAGCGTTATCACACTTAAAAACTGCTCACAGTTGAGTTTAATACAAAACTCAAACGTCAATGGTCAACTGGTACCACAACACGGTAGCATGAGTCCAGATGGCACTTGCAGCCTTATGGTCGCCCCGATGAGTCCAAACTCACAGTCCTCTCGCGGATACAGAAGTCTTCCTTATCCATTAAAGAAAAAAGACGGAAAAATGCATTACGAATGTAACGTTTGTTGTAAAACATTCGGTCAACTCTCGAATTTGAAAGTGCATTTGAGGACACACTCCGGAGAACGGCCTTTCAAATGTAACGTGTGCAATAAGTCCTTCACGCAGCTTGCGCACTTACAGAAACACCATCTCGTGCACACTGGAGAAAAACCTCACCAGTGTGACATTTGCAAGAAGAGATTTTCATCCACTTCAAATCTGAAGACACATTTAAGACTGCACTCAGGCCAAAAACCATACGCCTGTGATCTGTGTATGCAAAAGTTCACTCAATTCGTCCATTTGAAACTCCATAAGCGACTGCACACGAATGACAGACCTTATGTGTGCCAGGGGTGCGACAAGAAGTATATAAGTGCATCCGGACTAAGAACACATTGGAAAACCACTAGCTGTAAACCTAATAACATCGAAGAAGTTTTAGCAATCACCAATGCTGCGAACACTGAATGCATGGGTATGTATTACGAGTACTTCATTTAGTTCACTTGCATTTTTTTTCTGAATTTAAAAAATATTATTTTTATATTAATACACAAATCGTAGTATTGAGAGTGAATATTACCGAGCGGAGTGTCGAGAGCGACTGCAGCGCGCTGCACTTTCTCTTCGTAGGTGAACCGCAACTTTCACTTGCGCTCTCGCTAAACGCGACCGATTTCATTTTCGCGTGCACTTTGCAGGTTCTATGGACAAAGACTGCCACGATAGAGAGGGGCACGAAGCGTATGAAGTGCATTCGGCGTCGCAGGCGGGTCTCTCAGGAGTGGGTGCGCGACTGCTGGCCGGCGAGGGCGTGCTAGGTGGGCACGCGCACTCCACCACGCCGCACCTCGCGCCGGGCCCGCTGTCGCCGCCGCACACGCAGCACTCGCAGCACTCGCAACACGCCCAGCACTCGCAACATGCCCAACCATACCGTAAGATGCATGGGCAGGCGCAAGAGCACGATCCGGCACCGCAGCATTATTCCTCGACGGGCGAGACGCGCCCCAGCGTCATAGAGTCGAGCCAGCCACTCATCATTGAGTGCACTTGAGCGCAACTCCGGCCCTATCGGACGTGAGATTACCCGCCGCAACATGTGATTCCAGTCTTGTGATCCAACGAAAGTATTTTTTTAAATAGACAATCGTGCGAGTGACATTCGACTCGTCTCATTCAGTGGCTATGAGATTATGATATGAACTTTAATTTGTACATTTTTGTAAACTATAGATATAAGTAGTCGCGACGTCATTAAGTACTAAGTACTTACCTTAACTTCTTATTACATAAGTATTTCCTTAGGCTTTGAAGTACTTAAGTTAGGTTTTCGCTGCCTTTACGTTAATGCTCAATTTTTATGTCTTAGTAGAGTTCTATTGTATATAAAATTTATTTCTCATCGTATTATTTAATTTAAATATATATTTTGTATATAATAACCGAAGTTTGCATGTAAATATGTTTTTATATCTGCCCGTTGACTCGGAAATAATTTTGATAAATGTTACTCTTATTTAACTTTATCTATTAATGATTTGTTTGTTGATGTTTTTGCCATCTTCAATATTTTTATCTCACCAAAGAAAGTGTTAACAACTCTCCATTATAATTGGCGTTTTTTAATATTTTGAACGCCCATGTTTTCGAAGATATTTTTTAGGCTTAGATATTTTGGAATCAACAAACAAACGAAACTACTCAATCTCAAATTAGCATTAGGTGCCAAAAGCGCGTTTGTATGTGTTAAAATTTTTTTAGGTTATTTAATGAGGAAAGAATTCATGTAGTATTTTTTAAATGATCGTTCCTATATAATGATTGGAGATGGATAGTGGAGAGTGAGCGCGTGTATGCTTCAGTTTAATTCTAATGTTATTTAGAATAGAATGGACAAATCGTGTACATTATCCCTACGCTAGAACAAATGGTGCTTCACGTGGTAGAGTAGTATCGCGCGCCCTCGCGTCCGCGTCGGCCGGTTTGCTACACGTTGGTAATGTTAATACACCGACTTTACTAGTTACTATATTATAAACCAAGTCTCAAGTAATTACGGTTCTCCTACTCGAAAAGGCTGAGATAAAATATGTAATGAAACGATTGGCGAATATTATTGTAGGCAACGCTCTGCATGGCGCATAGGTCCGTGACGTCACATAAACGAAGTTAATAACCTATGTGCGATGTAGATATAATAGCTTTTTCTATATTTCTATTGTACGAATAAGATTTTTACACGCAATTAATTATAAATTTACTGTATATTTTATACCTACTATTTACCGACAGAGACAATTTTTGTATCTAATTAAAGCGCAATGTTCTCATTTCAATTATTATGTATGTGCATGTAAAATATATTGAAAATATAATAAATGTGCGCAGGTTGTATAAAATTGATCACATTGTAATAATTAACTAACGGCAGACAACTGAAACGAAACTTAAACATTCGCTTCGTAAGCACAGCTAACTAGACAGATGTCAAAATTTCAATATTATTAGGAGTTTATATGTGGCCTTATCATTTAAAAGCTGTTACGTTTTTAAATGTCGTTTCAGTATCCTGCCGTAAGTGTACTTTATCTGAGTAACATTAACTTGGCTGTCATTTTAATTTTTTACTATAATGAAAATCTTAAAAATTAGTTTCATAATTTTCATTTAGTTTTATTAAAAAGGTTGCTTAAAAAAGGTTTTGTGTGGCTTTAAATTAGTTTCTGTTTATATTTTATTTAAACTAAATTTAATATGAACATTTTATTGCACAAACATTAAATGTAAATGATAAACTTTAAAATGGCAGGTAATGTTAAATTATAAATAAAGCTACATGTTACGTAATCTTGTTAACTTCTCGCCATTCCTTGTTCATAGTTATATATATTTTCGTTGAAATTTTATAGACACATATTTTTGTACTTTTATGTTTTATCTCAGTGTGTTGAAATCATACGATAATAAGAATCGTTTTTTTATTATTGTATGTATGTGGGGTTATTATATTTAAACCATATTTAATATTGCACAGTCATCCCAATCACATCAGCAGCAAACTAATAAAGCTTAGATATGTTCTCGTATTCGCTACACTTTACCATATAAACCATGAAACTACGTAGCATTTTAAATGTGATTTAACTATAATTACCCATAATACATATTTATATCATGTTAAAATTGTTAACATGCGTAAAATTGATAAATTAGGTGACGTCTAAAATGTTTGAGCCTTTTTCACCTATGTCATTGTCCTTTATAGACATTTTTACCTAAAATATCAAAACTAAGCATATGAATGAATAAGTTAAAAATTAAAATCTTTATCATTCTTAACATCAAAGTTAGCTTTAGCTGTTTTTAACTCAAAGGACAATGTATTGGTCGAAAACTTTCAACCATCCTAAAAGTAAATAAAATAAATTCGTAATTGTAAATAAAACCAACGAAGCATGTTATCTGTATATCACCAGTTCTTATATTGTTAATATATTACGTACCTATATACTATCATTTATAACGCAAGTTAAAACAAAAAACTTAATATCAATTTTGTATAAAATCTTTCTAAATCCTTAATGAGATAGACGTTTCGTACATATAATAAGTACAACATAAACTATGGTACATCAACGTAAGCAATATTTTATCACATTGTATCAATAACTTTTACGATTTATATGAAGCAAATGTACACCTCGTTATTGGGGTAAATTGTAATTGTTTAACACGCCTCAAATATCTATAAATACTGTAAAGGCCTGTAATTTTGTACACCTCGATCGATAATTATTTTACATCACCAAATACAATTAAAACAGATGGTAAATCTTTAAAAATAGTTTTCTTTTAACCTTTACTTTTATTTTAACTAAACAATGAGAAGAATGCATTTTAGCGTTCAGTGTTCTTTATTATTTGAAAAAAATTTACTCATAGTGATCTTCAACGATCTCTTACCAACTCCCTGTTGCCATGTTCGCATGAACAGACATCAAAATGCATTAAATTTTCAAAAAAAGACATTAGTTTTATAGACTTGTTTTATTTCTTAAAAAAATATGGTTAGTATAAGAAACAAAATGATAATTTCAAAATATTACTGTAGTGCATACAATAATGAGTTGATGGCAACACTGTTGAATGTATGACGTCATCAGCATACAGTTACAATATTTCTTCACTAGTAATTCGAATGTCTGGGTCAGGTCAGATATAGTCAAAGAATTAACCAAATTATTTAACTAGATTGCAATAATCATATTCATTTTGTACATTTTAAGAGGAGGCTTCTGGTGTGAGTATTGTATCAGGCGCGTTGCATTTCTTAAGATGGGTTCTCATGTTGGAAGACTGTGTAAAGGCGAGTTTACACCGCGGGCACGAATACGGCTTGGCCCCGGTGTGGAAATTGAGATGCGACTTCAAGTGATGCTTCTTTGTAAATGATTTAGGACACAGCGAACACGAGAAGGGCTTGACTCCTGTAAGAATAAAATATGATACATTAGTAAAATTAAACAGTTGGATTTATCTCTCTCTTTTACTCTCGACAGAAACAATCTTCTGCCTCCTTTCGGTGTGCAAAACATAATTCTCTCGTAATTTTCGAGTAACTACGCCAGTTCACTTGTTTCGAGGCAAAACTAACGCTTCCTATCCATTCTATGGCAATGTAAGTTAAGGCTATACAAGAAACGCCTGTTGACAGTAATGTAGCAAAGTTACTAACGTGCGAAACCTAAACTATCGCACAAATGTTGTGCGATTGTCGATTGTTTCGCAGTCAATTCAACTGTTTAGTTGCATAACTAAAAATCAAATCGAATAGTGTGCGTACGTCCATGTAAGCTCATAGGAATCAAAGCCCGACTAAACAGTTGTCCGATAGTTTTGTCAAAGGTTTGCGCGCTTTGACTATCTAAGAAAAGTAAACTTTTTGTCTCAATATCGCTGGATCAAATGCACACATAATTAATTACATATAACACATTTATAAATCTAACAAACCAGTATGCAGTCTTAAATGCAGGGTCATGTTGGAGCGGTCGGCAAAGCGGCGGTCGCAGTGCGGGCAGGCGTAGGGCCGCTCGCCGGAGTGCGTCCGCGCGTGTTGCTTCAGTAACATCTTGCGAGAGAACGCCTTGCCGCACTCCTCGCACACGTGCGGCTTTACACCTGGAATTAACAAAGATTATATATTTCTATTTAGTAGGATCCTGACTCATTTTTCCTAATACAGTCATATATTGTAGATGTTTCATGGTCGGAATTAACCTGCTCTTATACCTTTCTTTAATTAAACATTGTTAACGCATAATAATGCAGCATTGTGATACTATTTTTTGTTTATTAGTCACTTTTGTATCACTTATACGATTTAATTTAAGCAGTACCAATAGCATTGACCCGCCAACATGCGTCAAATAGTTAAGAGGTCCTTTTGCATTTGCGTCATAGCTTCATTTTTTGTCAATCATCTTGAAAGTACCGGACATGATGAAATAAGTAAATGGACTGGTCAATCCTTATAAAGTCCTTGAAAGTCTAAAGGTTTGTCAAATCACTATACGATCTCTATGTGAAAAGTCTATACACAAAGCAAATTCGCCATACAGCATGATAGAGCAGTCCTGTTTTTTTAAGTGTCTACGTCACCACGATTCGTCATTAATAATAGACATTTTTTATTTAATGCCTCAGAACGAGGGATTCAAAATAATCATTAGGTATATTCTGCATTACTAATGTTCATAACTTAATAACTAAATCTTCATGGACAGAAAAAGAACACAAGTGATGAGATCTACTGCTAATAATTTTTGTACATAAGAAGCTTTTATCATGTTTTGTGACACCTACTTAAATGTTGGGAAAATGTATTCGAAATGAATAGATAAAGTAAACATTTTTTTCAGACACCTCTGTTTAGAAAGGTAAAGACTTATCATAGTTTAAATCGTTTCGATATGAATCATACCACCCAAGAAGTCGCTAATTTATATAAACACGTTACTAACCTACAAACGTTATATTCAATTAATTTGAAATGGCGTGAACACCTCAAATACACACTTTTTTGCTAAACACAGAACAACACTTTTACATACCTGTGTGTATTCTTACATGCATATTATAAGCCACTCGCTGGTTAAACGACTTTGGGCACATTGAACATTTGTACTCCTTTCGATTTCTGAAACAAATATTTATTTTTTAATACTAAAACTAAGTACTTTTTTGCAGCCAGATATCAACCGGCAACAGACGATCACAGAAATTAGCGTAACATTTTAATAACTCGAATCAAAGTCTCCAAATATTGTTATAAATTTTCTTCCTTGGAATATTTGATAAGGTGTTTTTAAATCGTAACATTTCCAATCTTACCTATGAATTTTCATATGACTACTTAGATATCCTCTATCGTTGAAGTATTTCCCGCAAACTGGGCAAGTAGTGGCGAACTCTTTAGTACCGCGATGCACCGACATATGATATTTAAAGTTGCGGAGTTGTGAAAAGGTTTTGTAACATTCTCCACAGCTGTATCTAGTTATAGATGTATGCCGACGCATATGCGTTGTAAAAGATTCCTCACTCGTGAAAACCTGACGGACAAATGCACAAATTAAGTACAATTATCAACTATATGGTAAGTGTCCAATCAAATAAACCTTAAATAAGGGAATGCAATGGAAAGGTAGATAGAATTGGACAAACATTAATCAATACAAAAGGTATATTGTTTTCTTAAATCCCAGAAGAATACTAAATCCATGCAAGTTAAAACAAAACATAAAAAATAACTACCGACTACGGAGTCGTTTCTACGAGGTAGTTATTTTTTTACTTATTAGAACTCCGTAGTTCTTAATCTTTTTACTAACGTGTAATTTTATGTCCATATCCGTATAGAAATGAAAATAGAAACTAGATCTTAGCGTCTAATGCAACAATCTTTGGCAACTGACATTTTTAAAACATTGAATACCAACCTGATTACAAGTTGTGCATTTTAAGTCGTCTCCAGCGTTCACACAAGAACGTGATATTGCTGCATCTTCAATTTCACTATTTGTATCGTTTCTCGTATCTCCACTAGTAGTCAAAAGTATTTCATTTATGTTATTATTTTTATCATTACCCACATCGATTTGACTCTGGAAGTAAACAGATTAATGTTATATTTTAATTGATAAATTACATTAAAAAAATAGCTCCTAAACCAAAACTAACCTTAATCGAATTAACTGAAACAGTTTCAGCGGTTTTTCTACGAAATGGTTTATAATAATAAGGTAACCGAGGACTCCAAGGACTTTCTAGCACTTCATTTAGGATAACTTCTCTTGTCTCTATTCCTTTAGAATTGATATCCTTGTGATTAACACCAATTTTAGTATGTATTTCTTGATTACACAGTTTAATTGAAGAATTCTCGTTAAAATTCCTCCTCTTGAAAATACACTCGACATCGTCATTTTTAAATACCGACATTCTTAAATCTAATGTAGAACTTTCTGATCTGATTAAAAAACTATTTTTAAAATTTAGAGGCAAGTTCCCATTTTCATTTATTTTTTTCTCGCCGCTTTTACTTCTATGCATTTCCGCCAATTCAGCAAATGATTCCGTCGTACAGTTGTTGAAAGCTTGACGGTTTTTATATGAGGAGAGAGGTCTCTGGGATGTCGGTAATATGTACGATCTTAGTTCAGACACGATCTTATGTGTCTCGGCGTGTGTGTTAGGATGGGCGGCATTAGCATTCGTGAAAACAACAGATCTCGGTTCACGATAGTGCTCATTTGATATTGCCAGCACGCCCGCCCCCAGACCGTTACTACAACCGTTCTGAGCATATGTCTCAATAAATAAATCACGTAGCAACGAGCCTCTTTGTCGGTCTTCACATCGCACTACATCTCCCGCAGATGAACTAAAGTTTTCACTCCGAGTCCGGATCTCTTTATCTCCAAAATCTAAACCATCGAACGGACATTGTACGTTACATATGATATTTTTAATTCCTTTCTTCTTATTAACGTACTCGCGTTCGCTATTCGCAAATGTCTCATCATTCTTTGACAAATTATTTTCTTGATACTTACCATGATCTAAATGTTCCATACCATTACTAATTTTAAAATACTGCGGGTCAATATAAATCTCCAAATTCCTAATGATATCCAAAAATTCGTTAAGTTGACATCGTTGAATTACAACTTCGCCGTGATAAATATAATACAAAACGGACGACACAGCATAGAGATCAAAATCTGGCAAGATGATATACGCTGGCGAATCTTTTGCTGGACACGAGAGAAGTACTTCCTAGGAGAAAAAAAATCTTTAAATTATTTTATTACGAACTATTAGACTCGGAAATGGATAATTGGGCGTGTTTCGACTTATCTTACACCGAAGAGCTTTGTTGTGGCTTAGCATTTAATTTATATTTAAACACATTAATTAATAATTAAATTATTTAGGCCGTCTGTTATACAAGTAAAGTTATTCAGAACACTTTAGTTACGATTTCGAATACTTAATTACATTATTACTTACTCTCAGATATGTGCTGACACTGGCGAGGACCGCTCGGTGCGCGCTCAAGCTACGCCCGCCGCACAGCAACCGCACGTCGCACCATTCGGCGCGGGACAACCACTCGTACATCTGCTGCCCACGTCAAAAATAGACCACAAAAAAATTAATCTAATCGATATAGACAGCGCGCTAATCACACGTTCCAATTCAGATGTACTAGTTTTACATGACTTGAAGTAAACATTTTTTTTGTTTTTTTTTATGACTGAATTGCCACTGTTTGCCTTGAAAAGGCATTTTCAGATTAACCGGGCTTGACGTGGCTGAGCGCAGATAGCGCTTAGCCTGAACCTCGTTTATAAGTAACTAACCTCGAGGGCTCCCGCAGGATTATAATACATCGGTCAAAATAAAAATTACCAAAGAATTTAAAAAAATCCATGCTACACTTCTTATATTCTTTCAGATTAACATACCTACTCTCTGGATTTCGAATTATGACCAGCAACGTGTATTCTACCGGAAATATATTTTTTTTCAATTCAATTATTACTTTTTTGACTAATTACATGGAAATTTGGACCGGATGACCGCGATCGGTGGATGCGTGGTGTCGTTTCGTGAACAAACACGCCATGTTTGCGGCACACTTTAATAATTCTTCGTCTCACGTACAAATAGACATTGCCCCTGGCCGGTGCTGTGATGCGGCAACTAGCTGGAGTCTGTACGTCAGCGTGGCTAAATTAACTAAACACATAGGTATAACCAGGTCAACGTTTTTAAAGTGGCACCAAATGTGAAAGCGTTGATCAAATAAATCTGCTCAAATAAAGGGAAAATTTAAATGATTCCTAATATCTGAGTTTTTCAAACATCGGAACAGCCTGTTGTTAAAGTGAAATTTATAAGATTTTCAGAGAAAACCAAATTATAAACTTGAAAACGTTTAATAGATACATGATATTGTATGTGTGTACATAAATTGTTCAGATATTTAAATAAATTCTTACAGCCTTTCCTTCAATTGTAGCTGTCGCTACGCAGACTCCATATGAGGTCGGTATATCGTCATAATAACTGGCATTATTATATAATTTAAGCACTAATATATAGAGTAATAGAGACATAAAATTGTTAATTTTTAGAAAAACTTAAAAAAAAAACTTCTTGAAAAGACGTTTAACAATATGTAAATTATTTTAAAACACTAACGAAAAATAAGCTTACCATTAATTTTTAAATATCAGGAAATCCAACAATACACCATTTTATTTGGGTTCTACGCGCCTAAGTATGCGTGTAACTGCCGCCGCACGGGACCTTACGAGCGGACAACTTCCATCCACTGCACTCAGTGGTTGTGAGACGATTGAGCCAAGCTCTACGATAGAACCCAGACCAACCTTTCCGCGAATCTAAATCCAACTGGTCCAATAAATTTGGTCAAGCTTTCATTTAGGGGTGAAAAACTTTGAAAAGCAGTTTAATTTATTTTGCAGTCATTATTTAAAATTATAGTGGTGACTTATCTCTTATTTTTAAAATAAACGTGTAAAAATCAATGTTTTTTCTGTATGCGTTTAACCTATTGATCACAAAAATGTGATTGAAGTCGCGAATACTTTGGCATAGTAAATATAAGATTCCCAGTAGAAGCATGTTTTAGTTCGCAAATCCGCGTTAGTTGTTTCGGGCAATCTCCGAAACGACAGAATGATTTTGACGGGACTTTTACTGAAATGTAGCCCAAAACGCGGAAGTAACTTAGCCAGCTTTTTTGTCCTTTTATTTAAAATTCCACGCTAAATTCTTAGGAGCAGTATTACAATAAAAACGGTACATTACGTATTTTGTCTCTTACTTTAATAAAGTGTGATAAAAAATTCAATTAAGCTTTCTTTTCTCATTAAAAACTTGAACAAAGTTCAAAAGTCAGTTATAAGCGTTTTGTAACGAAACGTTTACCAACTAAAAACTGGAATTGGTGATTTGCTAAGAAATTAAGCTTTTAATGTCTATGTTAAGGTTCTTGGAATACGCTTGTTTAAGTATGTATTAATGATAAAATCTTGATGTTAAGCAATCTAGTAGGAATGGTGTTTAAGAACATTTAAACACGAAACTACTCATTTACAATACATGTGACTGTGAAAGCTTAAGTTAGAGACGGATTTCATATAAGGTATTAAAATGTAATTACTAACAGATTGATGCGATTTTCTATATACAATAGAACCTGGATAAGTTAAAGTACAAGGGAAACACAAAATATTTTAAGTTATAAAGGTTTTAAGTTATCAAGGGTCTATGTTATAGAGGACAGAATGCTTTGGATTTACTTCTCGTACACAACTGTGTACGACCGTGACGTCACGTAATTTCTCGGCGTTGTTATAAATATGAAACGAAATTACCCATGATGTAAACCTTGTTCAAGATAATCATTCATATATGTATGGCTGAATCATAATTATTTTGCTTTTTATTAGAGTTTCAGAAAATATTACAAACTATGAGGGATTGTGTAATAATTAAAGAAAACAGTTGTATAAGTTTCATTGAACATACTACTGTCCATATAATCTAAATGGTCAATACTTTGAACATATGAATTGAAATAACTACCAGAACTGGTATTATAGTCATAATTACTACAAATACAATAGCATATACTTTTTCCACAAGTTCTACATTTGCTAGAGTGCTTCATTGTTATTTCATCTGCATATTCACAGTCAATAAATTCACTAATACTGGATTCCACAGGTATGTTCCAATCACACAAAGGGAATAAAGTACACATCAAAAACTGATCAACACTTTCAAATGTACTTAAGTTGTTGAAAACTTGCTTTTGTTTTCTTGTCAGTACTTTCTCAAGCATAAAAACCAAATGATGATGATAACATTGGAACGTTATTCTGTCTTTATATTTGTTTTTAATGTCCATCCATAATTTTACACAGCTGTCCGGAGTTGTTTTTGCTCCACTAAATAGAGCAGGATTCACTAATAATCCACTTGCTGCCATCACACCATTGCAGTTGGTTTGATCATATAAATCATCTGCATCAGATAATGTTTTTATACCACCATTAACCACCACCGGTATTGTTAATGAATCACAAACAGTTCTCAATGCATGAATATCAATATTTTCACTACTTTTCTGAGCAGGAGTCCTTCCATGTACTGTTAGAAATGTTACACCACAATTTTCTAATTGTTGACATAAAGTTATCGTCTTTTTTAAATCATCCAATATTCTAATCTTTACTGACACACTGAAATTAGCAGGAAGACTGTTCTTCACACCTTTTACAAGTTCATGAATAACTTCAGGCTTGGACAATAATGAACAACCATAACCATCTTTCATCGCCCATCTCTGGGGGCAGCCACAATTTAAATCTACCCCATCAGCATAGGGAAACACTAGTTTTGAAGCATCCACAAAATCATTTATATTATTAGCAGCAAATTGTACAATTAGGGGTGTATCGTTTACAGTTGTTGTAAATTCATTAGAACGGGCTTTAGCATTCTGACAAAATGAATCAGCTAAAATCATTGGTGTGAATGTCAGATCCGTATCATAACTGAAAAAAAAAAACATATAAGGTATATTATAGAATAATTTAAAAAATCACGTTGTATTGATAAATATATGATAACAATAAATAAAGTTATGTTAAATTTGAATAGGTAAATTTAGTCTCAAGCAGGTTCATTCCAACTTTCAATGTTTGTCTCAGAAATAAAACACTGCGTGTTCGTAAAAGTACTTAATTAACTAATAATAAGAAAAATCTTATTTTTAATTAGGTTAGACGATATAGATAAGATAAACTTTACAAACTTTCTAACGAGTGTTCGAAATTGAACTTTACTGTATCTGACCATAGGTGCACAGACATTCAAATAGTTTTGGTTAGCTTTGGCAGTAATAAATAACTGAGAAATATCGTTTTTAACTTTCATTTTAATGTGTTTCTGTAATAAATTAAATAAATTACGATCTCTTATTCAAATAAAATATAAACACACGAGACTGTATTTGATTTGACATTGACAATTTGACAATCCAATCACACCAGCGAATTTGTTTTTATTATCACAGTGGCAGCACACATGATTTCTTCTCGGTTTTTCATCTTTTATTATATTATCTTTGTTCGCAAAGAAATCAATCATAAACATTCCCAACAAATCTAAATATTTTTAAGGTAGTTATGACTAACCTCGAAATATTTAAACCCATTGTTGTGGTCGATTTTTAGATATTTTATCATATATTTTATAGTAACTAGTAACATTATAAAGAAAATGTCTTGTACTGTCACTGTCACTGACTCAATCACTGACTTCATCTTCCAGTTCAAGTCAACATCAAATCAAATCTTATACTTAATTTTGTGCATTGGATCACCGTTAGATTTTTAAAGTTCTTTTATCTTTCACTTACATTATGACAGAGAATACCATAGATATAGGTGTTTTAGAAGAGAAACCTAATTGGCTTTTGCATCCAAGGTTTTTTCCTAGTAAAGTAGGTGGCAAACCGGCATGGTTAGATCTCAAAAATTTATGTGCACCAGCCGATATAACCTGTAAAAAGTGTAATGATCCTTTAATTTTTCTTTGCCAAGTACGTTTTTCATGAATTTCATATAGTTACAAAATAACTTCAACAATTATAATTGATGTTATGTTTCAAGGTATATGCCCCATATGAAGAAAAAGATGATTGTTTTCACCGAACTGTTTTCATATTTGTTTGTCGTAATGGATCGTGCTGTCGACCGAATTGTGCTGATAATTTCGTAGTCCTACGTTGTCAGTTGCCGCGTAAAAACGATTTCTATTCATTTGAACCTTACAAAGAAGATGAACATGAGGTAGTTACAAAAAAAACTTAAGTAAATAAATGTAAACTTGACCTTTAATATATCCATGTCTCAACAGAGTTTTTGCATGGAAAAGTGGCCAAAGCTGTGCAATGTTTGTGGAATAAGAGGACCTTCACACTGTTCAAAATGCAAGAAATCATACTACTGCAGTCGAAAACATCAAATACTAGATTGGCAAAAAGGCCATAAAGAAAATTGTGTACAGCTACAGGTACAAGCTGCAGGTTCTTTTTCCAGTTCCAAGTGTAACCAATGCACATATTTATTTCATTAATTTAAATAATGAATATGTTTTAATGTTGTTTTTCCCATTTTACAGGCAGGTGACAGTGTTCCGCTCCCCAATTTCACTGTTACAGAAGCGGGAAAATCTATTTTATTCAAAGAATGGGAGCTTGTTGTAGATGCTGAAGATGAGGTTTCTTTTTGTATTTTCTCTTGTTAAACAACCACAACATTGAAAAGTATTAAAAACAGGATTTAAGGTAATAAGTATTACATTTTTCCAGGAGGATAGTAATGCTGTGGATGAAAATCAAGAGATGGAGAAATTAAGAAAGATGATGAATGAAAAGAGAGCTGGCACTTTAAGTAATATAAGTGAAAGTGAATTAGAACAATATACAAGGGACATGCCGGAGGACAAAGTGTTTAATAAATTCAGTAAAAGGATTTCTAGACATCCTGAACAAGTGTTAAGGTATGACAGGGGTGGAACTCCTTTGTGGATCACTAGCAACACTAAAGGTGCCTTAACTCACATTCCTAACTGCCAGTATTGTAATGGAGAAAGACAATTTGAATTTCAGGTAAGTTTCATCTCATTCCATGCAAACTTTGAAAATTCAAATTAAAAAAGAATACAAATTTTGAAATAATTACCAATTATAGTTGAATCTTGGGAAACATTTGAGTTATATTCTTTGCAGATTCTCTAGCTTTCATTGTTTTCATGGCTTGACAGTTTCAAAAACTTTTGTTTTTTTTTTGTTTCAGGTAATGCCTCAACTTTTGAATTTTATCAATGTTGGTATTGACTTCAACAGTATTGATTGGGGCATATTGGCAGTATATTGTTGCAAAAACAGTTGCAATGAAGGTCCCTCATACAAAGAAGAGTGTATAATTAAACAAGATTTGTGTCAATAAAGTTTATTTTCAAACAAAATAAATAATAATTACTTATCTAATTGTCTTACTCCGGTTTCTTCCCATAATCTTCAGCTATGTATGTGAGAAGATCATTGAGGCCACTAAATTCAGTTCTTGACTGTGGGGGGTTATTCTTAGGAAGAACTGGTAGCATGTTTCCTACTTTTATTCTAAAGTCTTTAAGCTGAAAATTGCAATAAGTCAGCAATGACAGTACACAAGATTGCATAATAACTGATTATAAAATACTTACATCCTTAGCTCCAGATAGCTTCCATATGCCATAACATAAGCATGATGTACCAGCAACAGCATACAATGTACCCCACCCCAGAGCTCGCAATGCTAAAATTGCTCCAGCATCTGCTAATTCCACACTACTGTGTAAGCCTATAAATAAATTTTAATAAATCAAACTTCAATATTCTAGGAACACTTTCGTTTGTTATAGATCTTTTTTCCTCCTATTTGATTACATTTTACTTTAGTATTATATGTATTGACAAATTTACCTTTGTTAAAGTATTTTGGATCCGCCTTTTTTGCAGCTGATAACGTTGCACTAAAACCAACAAATGCAGAAATCCCAGCTATAGATGCTAAAAAAGCACCAGCTATAAGGGAATAAGAATGTTTATCAAATAACATTCATATATAAATGTAGAAAAATCTGTCATACCTTTTATTCGTTGAAGTCTTTCTTCGTCTGCCATTACATTTATTTATCAATTATTTTGAATAAACTAGGATTTTTAAACTAAATTTACATTTTATATTTACATTAGACCAAATTAATTTATAACCTCTATCTCCAGAATTATAAAAATAATCAAAACACTGTAGTTGACACTGACAGTATCTGTCAAAATCAACTGTCATTTAAGTCCAAAGATCAGACAATGTTTTCAAAAACTTTCCTGCTTACGGTTTTTGCTTAAACTGCTATTTTTATAGCTATATAATACGATATCCGGCGATTTTCGACAGTGACCCCTGGGAAAACTTCATAACTCATATTCGTAAACAAAATGTGCTAGAAGCCCATTAGATCGTAGTTTTCGTTTGCATTTAACATAATTACATTTATTTTTACGATGTTTTACGTGGAAATAGTTGGCGTTTCCTGAAAGGGCAGATTGAATAGTAACTCAGTGCCCGAGTGTAGAAAAGGCTCTAGCAAAATAGACAAGAGTTCTTACCCTCATGATATGGGTCCAGATATTGCTAAATACTATTCCTGTGCGAAAAATCCTGTTAATTTTAAATTTCATTTCAATTAAGCTTCACTTGTGAATGTTTTAGCAGTAAAAACATACTGTCTAGTTGGTCGATCTAAAATGTATAATTTGTAATTACTAGGTAGGTTTTCAAACTAAAGTTAGTAATATGAAGTGTTTAATAAAACTTTTCGCAAAATTTAATACTGAATATAAAATGTCTACAAACACATTAGATACAAAAGACACCTAAAGCAATTATATGTTTGTCATAAAGTAATGACAGTAACAACAATAATTAAGACATGTTATTACATAAATGTAGACACAGCCATTGCCTACAATATTATTTTCAATCAATTTATAAAAACTAACATAAATAGGCACTACTCGATTTAAAGATTAGGATGTCCAAGTTAATAAACATTATTAAGAGATTTCATTTTAGTTTATTTTCTTGTCTAAGAGCTTATAAGATAAAAAAGACAAACAAAAGAAAAATCACATAGCTAATTTAACTTACTATCGTTCTTTTAATGGAAGCTAATATAATACACAATTTAAACTTTAACCTATACATTATCATTATAAAACAGATAGAGTACAGTATTAAATACATGTCGTAAAATAACTAATATTTACAATTCCCTCAAACATCTATACATTAAATAATTTAAAATAAGAGTTAAATGGACAGGCCATATTCTCAACACTCATTTCTTTTGAACTTTTTGCTAGATTCATTGATATCTTCAAGTTTGTTTATCCGTCTTGTCTTCAGCAACATGTTGCCATCATTGTCACTACTGTTCTGTCGTACACAGTTCAAACTTGACACATTCTGATTATGTACACCATATTTTTTATCACCGATTGTTTTATTTTTAGTAACCAATAACTTATTTTGAAAGTCTTTAACATCACTCGTTTGTAATTTAAGAGGTATATAAATTTTGTTTTCATTATCATTCTTGATGGGAAAGATTGCTTTGTTTTCAGTGTCACTGGATAATCTAATAGTTTTTCTTAAATGTATTGTATCCGAGGCGTCTGTGAAACTACGTTTAACAACTATGTCACCAGTAGGTTGCTTCACAAGCGTTAGTGTCGGTGGTTCACTGTCTTTGTCAGGTTTTGTGATTTTACTTGAATTTCCTTTATCACCATCTGATGCTTCATCTTGCTGTTCTTCATTTTCAATTAATTTACCTTTAATAAAATTTGTTAATTAAATAGTTGTTATAAGGAAATTAAAAAACAACACTCATTTTTTTAAGCCTATTAGAAAATCTCTATTACTTCTTTATTGGGCAACAAATAAATAATTATAGAATAGAGCAATATTCTTGTATATATGAGTGAAAACATTACCATTCAATGTGGGGAATGTGATGTCTGGTAAAGTTAAATGTGAGTCTGGATTGTATCTGTGCATTAATGCTTTTAATAAAATGGAGATTTCTTCTCGCTTCCGCGTTACTACAATTTCATCGAACCAGTTAGCCAGCTGTTTTATAGGTAAACTGTAATCCAAAATAGGTTCCTGAAAACAAAATTCAATGTTTTGTAAAAATAATAAATTATAACTTAAACGAAATTTGTATCAGTGAACTATTACTTTCTATATATAGAACAAATAAAAGATTTTAATATAAACCTTAAAACTTACCTTAAAAAAATGTTCTACATATTGTAATAAATACAGGCCACAGTCTGTAAAATTATTTTGTTGAGGTATTTTCGGACAGCTTCCCTTAATATTGTCTTTGTTGAAAACTTTATTTTTACATATCTGAAAATTTTAATTGTGTTAAAGAAGTTAACATTTTTTTCTATTTATCAAACTAATAATAACATACTTTTGCTTGATATTCACAAGTGAGGTAGTCTCGTAACGTCGCCACAACTCTTGACCTGGAGGCACCGGCTAATGAATCAAATATTAATATACAGGGTCTGCAAAAAAATCATTAACTTATTATCTACATCAAAGGAAATACATAACAGATTTCTTTCTTATGATTTATATAACTTACTGTTTTATAGGTTCATTTCTACCAATTGGTGTTTGTTCTACTCTTTTTTCCGCTTTCTCTGCTTCATCATCCTCTGAATCACATTGCATATCTAAATCACTTTCCTGAAAACATGAGTCACATAATTAGTGCAATTGTCCTTTGAGTTCTTTATTTATTAACTACTTAACGATTAATATTTTTTTTAATAGAATATTGACCAAAGGTCTACAATTACAGGTTATTGCCAGTTTTAATTACATTACATCTTCTTATCTTTGAATAATTGATAATACTTTAAAAATTTTATTATTCACACCCCCTCGATGCATTCCTATGATTCTATTTTCCAGTTGTAACACAGCATTGATTACTCTGGACTGGAATGATGAAAAATGGGCATTAAATAACTATAAATACTTACATCAGCCTCTGCTTCATCTCGTTCACTCAGATTATCAGAGTCACAATTCAAAGTGAACTGCTGCTGTTCTTGTTTCGTTAACGGTGTGATTGTTGTATTACCAATCTGTATGGAAGACCGTCGTTCTGGAATAAAAACAATTTTATATAACAAACCTTCATAATCGTGAATATTACATGTCTTATCTATGTTATGTAATTTTTATAGTGACAATACAATATGAATGGAAATTAAATGTAAATTTGTATAATGTTTATAAAAAGTAGATAGTTTCCATTAAATCCCATTAAATCCAATGAAAGTATGCTTACCTCGTTTTTTAATTTGCTGAGGATTAAGAGTTCTATTGTCAATCATACTTCTACAGCCTTCTAAGCTGGGAAAACAAATAATAGCCACAAACCAATGGCAGTTTTCATTTATAGGAACTACAATAAAGTCTTTTTCAAATATATTCACATTTTTAGTCCATGTTTTAACTCTGGCATGTCTCTTTTGTGCCGGAGACAGACTGTTGTCCCATTCATGTGGATTTGATATTTTGTTTACTTTACTAGGTTTGGTTGTTAGCCTTTTATAAAAGAATGTGCTAAAAATATGAGTCTTTTCTCTCTGTACATGTGTTAAAATATCGTGTACTAAATGTTTTAAATAAAAATCTATGATAACATCGTTTAAAAATTGATCTTGCGCCAGGCACATGTAGTCTTCTGTATTTATAGGTATACCGCCCTTACCGGGTGGATAAATTAAGATTTGTCTTATTTCTGTGGGGTTTGCACTGTAAACAAATCAAACTTGTCAATACATGGAAACTATTAAAAAAAAAATTATATTCATGACTTGTAATAAAGTTGGTTTTGTTTGTTTCAAGTGATCAATTGGTTGATATGTTTTCATACAAAATGGATACTAAAACTGTACTGCAGTTCGGATACCATTAAATGCAGCAAAACCTAACACTGCTTGAAGCTTTCGGTATCAAGTTTAGTCAGTATAGCCATTCTTTGTTTGAATGTTTTTCTAATTGAATATTGTAAATGTTAAAATATTGTGACTAGTCAAAGTGCAATGTTACTAATTAACAGAAAAAACAAGCCTTACCTTTTAGCTCCAGAGTTTGAGGTACTCAAAGACCTAGTTATAATTTTTGCAACATTATTACTATCTCTAGGACATGTCCTTACTAAAATATCATTAGCTTCACGGGCACTTAATTCGTCCATTAATTTACCAAATAAAGCTTTTAAGGCGAGCTTTGAATCCTCTGATATACATTCAGGTAACAAAGTTATTCTTTTATAAGGATCTATTACAGACATAGGATTGTAGTATGGTCCTGAAAATAAAACCATTGAAGACTTAGCTACCATTTATACTAATATAATAAATCATAAACAGACACTACCTCATGGTGTAGGATATCAGCAATCACAGCATATTTTTTAATATTTCTTTCTTTAATACAAAGCCCTACACTACACTACACTTATGAGACACTTTGGGCTATACATTTTCATACTATTAAACTTAGCGGGTAAATAAATTGAAAAAAACCTTCATGACCATAAGCTACAAGCTGGCAACTTCAAGGAAGCAAGGTTCTTATGGTAACAGTCATTTTGACATTTGCAATTGTAAAATTCACAAGTGTAAAAAATAACAAAGTTTTTATAATTCCATGCAGTTGGAGCAGCATGGAAACAGCTAGTATAACTATAAAATTCCTTCTTATAAGCAAATATAAACAATATAATACCAGATAAATATTGATAAAAACTTATCTTAGATTTGTTACATAACAACAAGTTGCAAATATTGGTAAATAAACTCAAAGATATGTGGGAGGTCAACAAACAGGCACTGGGGTAATGTGGTTAAGGCCCAATCACCCCTAACTAGAGCAGATTTTTGGTGTGGACATATATGAGCTAATAATGTACATCTCTAGGATTGTTTAATGTACATATTTAATTCAAACTGTACCATAAAAAACCATGAAAAGGAAATATTTCCAGTGTTACTATGTGTTCAAGGAAATAATTTTGTACCTATCAAATTACATCATATCTGAACTATTGGTAATTTTGAAAATACGTATAAAGAGTATAAATATATTTTTCTAATCCTAAAAACTTAATGTTCTTAACAATAAATGTACTCACCGGTATCATCTATCATATCCAAAGTTTTTCTTATATAAGCTCCGCATCTGCTCATAGTATACACAAATATAACCGGCAGTCCTTTTCCAAAATGGACTAATATCCTAACAAGTTCCTTTAACTGTATTTGTAATGCCACATCTTTTGATTCATCTTTAAGGGTAGGTGCAATAATTTTAATACCTTTGGATGATATGTATACCTGAAATAAAAAACATTATGAATTTCATTTACTAGTGAAATTTTTTTTTTATAGTAACTGTATTTTTATTAATAATGACAAAAATATAAAAACCTTCTCCTTTGGTGTATATCTATAAGAACCAATTCTAATAGTTCGACAGTTAAGGGTTGTAGCGATTCCTTGAGAAGAACTTGGATTAATCTCTTCTCTGCTTCCATCTAAAAAAAAAAGCCTATTTAGATATAAGTTTGAAGAAATACATTACACATTTTCATAAAATTCAAGAACAACCATTGAAAAAAATATTATACAATGAATCAGAATTAATTTTTTAATGTCATTATATTTTAACTAATAATTTTAGGTTACAATTTGACAAAATTTTAATCAGCGGGACATTGTGTTTATGTTAAACATCAATTCCCATATACAATGTCATATAGCATAAGTGTTCTCATTGTTGCATGAAGATATGCATTCAACATATGTTTTTTTTTAATTCACCATGTTTCATGTTTCACCAAGGATCAGAAAATATCAAGAAATTATTAAGGTTTTACTTATCTTCAACTTAGAAAAGCATTTACTAATCAAAGTAGATAGACATGTACATGAGCCGACATTGTGTACTGTGAGGCAAATTATGGTAATAGTTATTGCTATTCACTATTATTTTACTTGTATGGATTAGAATAAAAGAGAATATAGGAAACATGATAAATATTCTCGATGTTATTGATTATAGTTTATGACAGTTTTGTACAATTACAACCGTACTTGCTAACCATGCGGCATTCAGTATGTAATAAGTGCTGAATTACAATTACCACATATTTAGAATCACAAATACCTGTTTTAATACCTAAATAACTTTTTTCTTTAAACATTTTGGTAACAAAATCTTCATGAACGTGTTGCAATTTTGACAGCTAAAGCAACCGAATTGTGTCGCAGAATACAGATTCCTAAAAATAACTGTCATAGCGACAACTGACAACTGTTAATAAAAACGGTTACGCGCCAGATAACATAATCTATAGAAATATAACGAAAACATATAAATTATATTTTCAAACAAAACTTGGACCCGTAAAAAATTACAGGAATGTTTGTTACGATGTAACGTCGTAATATTCCGGCCACGATATTTTAGAATAGGTTATAAAATGGCAACTCTACGAAAAATTAGATTTGAATAAAATCGGTTACCCGTCGCAAAAACGATATAGCAGAGATAGATGACGAAGATAAGTGCATTGCAGATGTTTCGATGTTAATGTATTTATTAGTATAAATTTTGGGAATTTAGGATATGTTTCACTAATTATTGTAACGAATAAAATAGTAAAAAAAACACACAGATGAATTTAGTACCTGCTTCTTTTGGGAAGTCGGTCAAAAATCGCGGACAACATTTAGTCTCTAACATATTATTCATTATCCGTTTTAAACAAATAGTCTATCTAATACACCATCGTCATTGGGTTATAACGTAATTTAGCTCCGTTACGTCAAATCTCACCTGCATTATACAATTATTGTGCTCTTTCACTATTTTCAGTATTGCCACATGAAAATCTTCAACTTCTACTGTTGACAATCCACTGCAGTTATAAAATTTTAAGAGGTCTAATATTCAGATCACAATGCAATGCATTCAGTAGATTGGCCACATTGAAAAAACGAAAATATGAAAGTAACAAGTGCAAATGTACTTAGTAGGTCTATTTAAAATTTGTTTGAATTGTTTCCTATCCCAAATTATGGTTTTATCTATTAATGCCTGGAGAAGATAACTTTCTGGTATCTTAAAATAACAGAATTTATTTTTTGTTTTTAATAAAAAAAAATCTTGTTTATACAAAGATAAATAAAGAGTACAAGGGAAAGTACTTACCGTCCATGTGACCCATGCCGAATGAATTTTCGGAAGTTCCTTCAATTTCACTCAAAGTAGGTTCTTTCATGTTGATGGACAGTTCATGCTAAAAGTATTCATTTCAAATAACATCTTAATCAGATAAATGACATGAATTCAAAAGATAACTCAAGAGCATAGAATTTTTTTTTACAACAATAGTATACAAATTTTCGATACCTTCCGTTAGAAACATTATTTTCGATGTGTCTACTTTATAACAAGGAATCAAAACTGTTTGGTGACATCACCAAAACTACTTAGGACATTAGACTTTTGCGCTATTAAATTACGAAACCTGTTTTTGTTTTTTCTAAACATGTGCATTAAGAAGTAATATTTTAATATTTAATATTACCTGTGCACTGAGTAACGAGCTATTAGAATCCTCTTCATCAGAGCTTAACGTCAATATAACTGGTTCAGGATCTGGTTTCGCTTTTGGTTTCCTAACTCTTGTTGGCTTTTTCTCCTGCTGTTATGGTTGTTTTAATTAGTTTGTTGAGTAATCAAGGTTAAAGCGATATTACATAGGGCTTTTTTAAATTATTTATGGACATGGGAATTATTAAATAATTTTTAGTTTTCTACTAAAATTAGAATGTTTTAACTTAACCCAATCAAAAAAAGTGGTTCATCATGTTGCTATATGAATCAATTCAATGAGTAAAAAAAGTAATGTAAATAATACTAAAAGCAACTTACTGTTTTATTATTAAGTGTCTTCACGGTAGTCTTCAATAAATTTAGTTTAATGCCATCACTAGTACAAGTACTGTAACAAAAAATATATTTAATTTCATGTGAAATGTATGTTTTTTATATAAATTATTTAAATGATTAATAAAGAATTTATTTAAATAATATCATGTTTGTTACTTACTTTTGTTTGTCTAAAAGACTGGTCTTTTCTGGTTCCTTTTTCTTTTGTTCTAATTTCTTAGTTGGCACACTCTTAGGCTCCTCTGTGAAAACTCTTTTACACCTGCAATAAATATACAAAGTTAATCTAAGAGAATCAAAATGTTAACAAACAAAAATACCAATTTAAAAACATTTATATTTTTCACTTATAAATTGTCAATATTTAAATGCTTAAAGAACAACGAAGACCTTTGCCAATAACTAACTAACTCAACCAATACATGGCAATCCTGCTCCTTTGCTGCTATTAGCTTGTAGTTTTTGTCCTTTGCCGCATGAGGATTTTGTCCAATTTATTCACCTCCTAAATTATATAGCATAAAAATATGTAGCTTATAGCGTATTACAAGTGTAGAGCTTTTTATTGATTTTTCAAAAACATGCTGTTTGCTGGCATCTTACATAACAAAGAAGTTAGGCTTTATTATATTAGTATAGAAGTATAAATATTTACAGATGTCATAGGGATGGGACGTTTTTGTCGATGATATAGGGTTGCGCCGATTTTCTTCCTAACAAGATATAGATATGTACCAGTACTATGTAAAAAGTACATATGTGTAAGTAGTGTGTGTGTTTACCGTTGACATCGACTGAAGTCAAAGCCGGTATATCCACAAGACTTGCAGACCGCCAGCATACCGTCCACGTAGCGCGGCGGCGGCGGCGGCGGCGAGCGGCGCTCCGGGGACGACGGACTGTTACTGCTCACTACACACACAGAATACATTTAATGTGTTAGAATGTATATCCGAGAGAAATAGCAAAAAATCTGTCAAAGCATTTAGTTTAGGCTAGAGGAGTAAACAAACAAAGCAATTTATTTTCAGTTTATTATCCTATAATCAAATAACTGGAGATCAGTAGACAATTTTCATTCTTTTCAAAACTAATGTTATATTAGTGCCACATCAAACCCTACTTCTAACATTACAAATGCGAAAATTTGGATTGTTGGATGGATGTTTGTTAGAAGGTATCTTCTAACTTGCTTGTAATATTTAATTGAAATTTGGCATAGATGTACTATGTTTTTTTATTCCGCTCGGACGGAGTCGAGGGCGACAGCTAAACATATGTATAACCTTAAATAGGTAATCTTACCATTATCAGGACATTGGATCTTCTCTGGTGTTGACATTGCACTATTCTGTGCTTGTGGTAATGCGCTAGGGGAAGTTCTACTACTCATGTCGCCAACAAGCATCTGTAATATAAATAAATATCACACATTTATCCAACAAAAACGCATTTAACCGTAAATTTCTATTATCGAAACACTTGCACAACATATTGACATACTCCAAACTCTTTGTACATGTTTTTCGACAGTGGAAACGTACAAAAAACACTCACAGGATGGTTTTCCAACATTTCTTCTATTCTAGTCGTAGCGCCAACGGAGACGAAGTAGTCTATTTCGCTACTTGTATTTTGCATGCATTGTATATGTGTGTCTTCTGAAAATGGTACATTGACCTGCAAAAGAAATATATATGTAAATAAAAGGGACATAAAGTCGTATTTAATGTTTTAGGTTGTTTTAAATTATAGAATTCACAAACCTGTTCAAGAACTTCTTGTAACGTACAGCTCTCTTTGGGTAATGTGAATGTGATCAGTCTCTGTTCGCCATTTTGAAGGAAAATCAGCATTTTCGCTGATTGCGGTTCTACTGATTGTTCTGACGGTCCACTGCTCACTGACTCGCTGGTATCTGTCATATTTTAAACATGGTTAACCTTACTAATATTATAAATGCGAATGTTTAGATGGATGAACAGATATTTGTTAGATTTGTAGCCTAAATGGCTGAACGTATCTCGATGAAATTTAGCATAGATGTAGAGGATACTCTGGGAAAGCACCTAGGCTACTAACTTTTTTTTTATTCCACACGGACGGAGTTGCAGGCGAAAGCTAGTTATTAATGAATTGGTTTTTTTGTCATCAGAGAAAAAACTTAAAAGGTTATAGGTATAACCCTGTTATATGGGGTTAGACACACTAAAACCCCTACGGCCAACCTCGAGTTCAATAAAAGATGGTTCCAGGCTCTGCATGGTATACCCTCGGAATAATAAATTGGTCTACAGTCTTATGTCCTTTCAGTAAAGGTATACTTTTTTTTTTATAAGAAAAGCGGGCAAACGAACAACGGGTCGCTTGATGTTAAGTTATCCGACGCCCATGAACATCCGCAATGCCAAGGGTACTGCAGATGCGCTGCCGGCCTTTAAGGGAGGAGTAAGCTCTTTTCTTGAAGGCCCCTAAGTCGTAACTGTTTGGAAATACCGCTGAGGACAGAGTGTTCCACAACGCGACTGTACGAGGTAAGAATGTACGTGAAAACCTCGTCGTTGTGGAATGCCAACCATCGAGGTGGTATCGATGATATTTGGCACTCTGTCGACTCGTGCGATGACGGAACTCAGCGGCAGGTTCCAAACAATTCTTCGGAACACTCCCCGTGGTAGAGGCGATAGAAAATGCAAAGGGAACTAACGTCCCTTCGCAGAGCCAATGAGTCGAGCCGATCGGTGAGACAGCGGTCGTTGACGATTCGAGTGGCACGTCGCTGCACGCGGTCAAAAGGAAGAAGCTGGTATTTAGGGGCTCCGGCCCAGAGATGCGAGCAGTATTCCATATGTGGCCAAACCTGTGCTTTGTATAACTGCAGACGATGGGCTGGCGTGAAATACTGCTTCGCTCTCCCGAGCACACCAAGCTTCTTACTTACTACTATACTTGTTTGCTGTATAAATTTATACATATTGTTAGTAATTAATATTACCGGAATGCATTGGCTGCTGTTGGTTCTGCATGGGCAGTACTCGCTGCACGGGTCGCGGCTGCTCCTTGCTTCGCACCAACGTCTGCCGGCCGGTTTCGCTGCAAATAACAAATATGAATTAGACAGATTCTATTGAAATAGAGAAATTTTAGACAGTTCGTTAATGTTGAGTTTCAAAAGAAGTTTCAAATTTAATCTATTAATTCAATGATTTCACAAGATTACAACTTACAAACCAATGTTCCATACACCAACAACGTCAACCATTTGTTATTTAAATACAGCGGCGATAGTTCCAATTTTGCGATACACAAAAAAGTAATGGTAAATGGAATATGATCGGATATAATCGTATGTTTCTTGGTAAAATATATAGTTTCATCGTCAAGATACATTTACAACTATAAAAAAAATAATTTCTTTACAGTCAGTTTACAAAATAATAATTTTACAACGAAATGCGTATCGCTTGTTCAGTACTCTCGCTTGTATGCTTGGTCCAAACGGAATGAGACAATGAGTCACGGTTATTTGTGCAATGTGTTTATTATGTTAAGAAAAGAATAACATACCCTTGTTGAGAAACAAGTTGCTGAGATCGTGATGGCTGGTGGAGTCTCTTGTATTCTGCAAGGGTTATCCGTTGGCCATTAGCAAATGTAAGCACTTGTCTCTCCTCTTCCGGATTATCCGTTTCCATCAGCAAGTGGCTCAGAGTAGTTGAATGTTGTAAATGTGTTTGTTCAAATGTCTGTTGCGGTTGATTGTTGAGGAAATGTTGGGGACTGAATGTTAATTGATGTTGGGGGACGGATGTGCTGGTGTGGTTCTGTCTGTTCTGAGGTGGAGTGTGGAATTGCTGTGGGGAGTTGTCATTGATGGGATGTTTCTGTACTATAGCCGCTGTAATACTTTCTTCAAGGTCATCCATTTCATTAGCATTATTTGGTTGTACTGCGACTTTTTTGACTTGCTGTTGTATTTGTGGATGAGGTGAAGCACGTTGTGCGGGGCCGTTCATGGTCTGTTGAGGTAGAGGTCCATTTGTCTGGTTTTGTCCGACATTGTGCTGTGACATTTGTGTGGGCAGTCCTTGCGTCACTATGGTGCCTTGCGGCGTGATGATGCGCGTCGCTTGCGAGATGCCGGCGTTTTGTTGATTGAGGATTATTTGTTGCTGTAACAATTTTTTATGATTTAAAAACAGGAAGATATTTGTAATTCAATAACATTTATTAAATAATGTCGCCATAAAATGATTTAGATTATTTGAATATTTTTGAACATGTTTCTTTTTGAATGCTCAAAATATGGGATAATTTAATGTTTTATACCATTAGGCATTAATATTCAATCAACAACTATGCAATATTTTAGTATTTTCCAGATGTTTTTAATTTTCATAATGTTATGTTAAATTAAAGAAACCATACTTGCTGCGGCGTCAGTTTCAGCTGATTTATCTGTTGCTGTATTTGTTGCTGATGAACTTGTTGGCCAATGATATGTTGTGCTAACTGATGAGTCTGTAAAAAGAAATTATAAACTTCAGTTTAGTTTATACCTTGCGATATTTAAGTGATAAAGCCTGTTAGGTTTATTGCGTGACAACATTTAATGCAAAACTTTAATTTATAACGAGCTTTTGCCCGAGGCGCTGTCCACGCAGAATAAAAAAAATGAAGTCTATGTCTATGTAGTTTTTAGCTGCGTATCCGTTCAGGCTTTAGAAGGTAAACTCTATCAAACATCCATCTATCTTTCAACTTCAATTTTCGCATTTATAATATTAGTAAGATGTAATCTAGACATATAATAAAATTGGAGTGTCTGTTTGTAATATCAAAGGAAAAATTCCACATTTCGGGAAGATGTATTTGCGTTGCTGATAACGAAAATCGCATTTAAAACAATTTTTGTCTGTCTGTCCGCAAGCCGCGTTTGTTCCGGGTTATCTCCGAAGCGGCTAGACCGATTTCGACCGGACTTTCACTGAAGGGTAGCTAACATTGGCGGGCATATTATAGGCTATTTTTTTTTAATTCCGCGCTGTAAAAATGGCGACCGGACTGCTGTCTCTGGAAGGGGTGGACCGATTTAGACGGGACTTTGACTGAAAGATAGCTGGTAGAAGGTAGATGCACGTGGGAATGTGATAGATGATTTTTTTTTATAATCCACGCTAACGAAGTTTTCGGGCGACACCTCATTAAGAATAATAGTAATCAAATAAAATTGTGCAGTATATGTGTGTACCTGTGCGAGTGGCGTGCGAGGTCTTGGCGGGCGCGGAGGGCGGTGCTGCGCGAGCGGCGGCATGACGCGCGGCGAGGCGGGGCGCGCCGCACGTCCACCGCGCAACGCCGCCGCCCCACCCGCACCCGCGCCCGCCGGGGACGCCCCGCGCACCACGCCCCCCGGACTGTTTTGTGCCTACAAATATACCCAATAAATACCACGTCTGTATGAAAGTTATTTCGCGTCTAACTTATTTTAAAATGGATAATACAAAAAATAAAGTATAAGGGTAGGCAACGCATCTGCAATTGCGGATGTCTATGGGCAGCGGTCGCTTCGCCATTTTGGCGATTTCAGGGGGCCGCTTGCTCGTTTGCCACCTTATGTTATAAAAAAAAAATAAAGTATGGTTTTTAACTAAGAAACAATGAAAAAAGTTAACAATTGAAAATAAAAAGAATATATAATCTCTTACAACACTACAACACAAATAGAAAGTATTAAACAAAAACATAAAATAAAATAAAAACGTAATCAAATGAAAAAAAATTATGGGAAGATGAATAAGATGTCATGATTTTATGAGATTTCGCCAGTGTTTGTCTTTAATCAATGATAAAATCTTTTAGATAACATATGGCACAGTAAAAGCATAAAATACTAATACTTTTGTCTTCTGTGATATTGTATAAGATTCTAAATTGAATGATTTTTGACACTAGTGTATAGAACCTGGCCATAGACGATTCTCATTGTCAATGTTTACCTGCTGAAGCTGCGGGGTGAGTTGCCTCGCGACCTGTGGTCCGGGCAGCGCGGGGCGCGCTGGGGCTCGTCGCGGCCTCACTGTTCTCGGAGTGCGGACGAGAGTCAAGCCGGGAGTATTACTAAGTGCTTGATTCAGAAGCCGAGGTCCCGGCTGCCGTGTTGGGGTACCCTAGGGTTATAAAAACATATTAATCTATGCATTATCATCATACCAAAATTATAAATGCGATTGTTAGATGGATGGATTTTTGTTAGAGTTTGTAGCCTAGACGAGTGAAAAGATCTCAATGATTTTTGGCATAGATGTAGAGAATAGTCTGGAAGAACACATAGACTACTGGCCTTTGTTTTTTTTTTAATTCCACGCAGACGGAGTCGAGGGCGAAAGCTAGTAATGTATAAACACAAAACCTGTTTGACTTGTCAATATGGTATACCTGTTGATTGATATATGCTGCATGCATAACAACTTGTTGATGTGGTATTTGTTGGGGCTGGAGGTGTTGTTGCTGTTGTTGCTGTTGTTGTTGCTGCTGCTGTTGCTGTTGTTGCTGCTGCAGTTGATGTTGCAACTGTTGTTGTTGCTGTTGTTGCAGCTGTAATTGGATTTGCTGCTGGTGTTGCTGTTGAAGATGTTGGATTAGTTGGGGGGAGGCTCTTGTTAGCTGTGATGCCTGCTGTTGCTGAAACAAAGAGTTGAGTGTTATAAATATTGATTACAAAAATATACACATAAGAACATATTATGAATAGGCTAGCTTATGCCCGCGACTTTGTCCGCGTGGAATTAAGAAAAAACAAAAGTGTGTAGCCTATTTGTTCTTCCAAACGGTCCACTACATTTATGCCTAGTTTCATCGAGATCCGTTTAGCCATTTAGGTTACAACTAAATCTAAACTTTCACATTTACAATATTAATTTTGAACAGATTATAGATACTAACATTTTGTGGTCCTAATTGTTGGGTGGCAGTTTGGGGTGGGGGCTGGGGCGGCGGCTGCTGTGCCGGGTGTATCACAGTGGGCTGCGACAATACATGGCCAGGACTCACAAGCTGCTGTAATTATAACAACTAAAATAACAAAAAGTATATCCAAACCATTCAATGATAACCTTATATAAAAAAGTGTATAGGTGTCCCAGCAATAATATGGTTTAAGGTACAGTTATGTAACATATGTTCATTACTTTCTACTTCAGAGATTATAATCATGCTACCTAATTAATACATAACAAGTATTTAAATAATATATAAGATATTTTTTGATCTTTTGACATTGAGGTTACAATAGATAGTTATAGTTAGTTATAGAAGTGATATGTTGTCAATTGCTTTTTCCATTAACATAATACTTTTTCATAAAATCACTATAATTTTTAGAGTTATAATAATATTAAATATACTATAAATTACATAATCATCATTACTGTGAAGAACATATTAAACTAAAACTTTTAATTACAATTTATCCTCTTATGAAGTATTTTTGGCATGAATAAAGACTGATACCTACTGTAATGTTATTATAAAACGGTTTACATAAAATACTTATTTCATAACTTAATGGTTTGGAGTTTAAACCAAATGGAAAACCATGTTTTCTGCCTATCCTTCTGGGTTACGGGTGTGAGCTATCTTGTTGTTAAAGGTTTCTAAACTATACATTATTTTTCTTAGTTATATTTTTAACACAAAAGCTATATAAAGCAATAATGAACATAGAACAAGCATGAAAATGTTAAACAAAAATTTAAATAAAAAATAATACTTTAGTTTGTATTAACAATGTTGACATTTTAATTGGATAATAATCTTATTTTCCCAATTCTAATTTCTATTCAGTAGTATTCCACAAAGTTCTGTGGATATACATAACAGCCAGAATATTTATAAAAGTTTACCCTCAATTAAATTTACACATTTTTATTTTGTTTTTTCTCAAAGAAAATATTTATATTTGAAAGCAAACTACCTTATTGTATAAAACTACTTCACCTCAAAACCTCAGTTAGTATTAACATAAAAGTAAAAGATTCATGCTAAGCAAATTATTGAGAATGAAAGAAAAATGATTAATAAATTAGAAGCTGCAAAATATTGATACAGTGCATGACATTTGACCTATGTACTAAACATATAGTCAATGGACATACATGTTGCGGATGTTGAGGTGATGACTGTTGCATCAGAGATGCATCAATGATCTGTTGGGCCTGTTGCAACACAACCTGAGCATCCACAGGCAAATCAGAGGTGTAGTATACCTATAAATAAATTATTCTTTAGCGCTGAACACTTCGTAAAGTGATCCTTTTAGTGTTTGTATAACTCATTGAAAATGTTAAATAATTGTCTAAATACTAATAAATTTGGAGAAATGATTTATGAATATCTAAATATTAGTTATTTCATAAAACTCATTTAAAATCAAAGGTTTTTAATATTGTTTTTTATATTTGGTATCATAATAAAATATTTTACTTTCAACTTCACTATTTACTAAAAAAAAACAAGTTTTAATTAAATTAAAGTTAAATGATGTATCAACCAACAGATGTCAATAGTTTTATTGTAAATTACTATGCATGTAGTATATTTTTATTTTACTTTTTGTCTACTAAAGTCATCAGTTAGAAAAGCATGTTATAAATAAATCAAAAATCATTAGCTTAGGTTGTATAAATGTAAAAAAAAACTAATTGCAGGTCAAAATAAAATAAAAACCTCTTCAAATCAAGACTTAAACCTCATAAACAAAGGATTTACATCCATTTTACCATGAAATTGTACTGCCATAACACTTATATAAAAAAGTACTGTTATCTCAAGATTTTCTGAGAATGAAAGTGAGGAAACTATATTTTTGTACATGTTCCTTGACATGGAAACTCATCATTATGTTAATGCCTTATTTTTCCACAAAATTACAATATATACAATGATTAAAATAAATAACATTTGCTTTTAACAGGAAGTTATGTTATGTTTATCAATTTTACATTTTTGTTGATAATCTTTAACCATACAAATTATCTAAATAGATATAACTTGTGTTGGTATTTTTTAGTTGCTTAATAAATAGTATATCCTATCTGTATATTCTATCTTCATAACTGAATTTTTAATGATTGTAGACATGCTTATGAACTTACAAATTTAATAAATACCAAAAAGTAAATACGAATAAAAAAGAAACTTGTGTATTTGTTTGTGTTTCATTACAATTGCTATGGAATCATTTGTTTTCTATTACATTTGTTTTACAATATTCTAAGAATGTTATTTGTGTGTATGGTAGAAAGATGTTTAATGTGTAATTAACTGTCACTCGGAGTTCATTGCTTAAGCAGTTCTTACTGTGAATAACTCATACTAAATAACCATTAAGGGATATCCTTAGTAGCCATTTAACAATTGAATGGCATTTAATCATTTTACAGTTTCTAATGAAAATTGAATTATATTCATCCACAATAATTATTATGACTTATAATTAAACTTACCTGATGTCTATGCAAAGTTTGTTGTTGCTGATTTTGTTGTTGTTGCTGGTTTTGTTGTTGTTGTTGGGGTTGGAATTCTGTCCTGGTGGGTTGTTGGGGTTCATGACGTATAATATATTGCTGTTGATAAGGCAATCCATCTCCAACAACTAGTTGAGGTTGGACACCTTCACTCACTATTATATCACTAGATGTGTCCGCTTGTTGCACTACAACCTTATGAGGCAAATAATTTTTTGTTAAATTATAGTAATATTAAAATAGGTACAGGGTTCAAGGACCGCTGGTTAATACTTCAATCCTAAGTAACAACTGCTTTTAATAAGATGTACACATATCTGTGTAATAAAAGGCACACCCACTGTTTTATACATAATTCCTATTAATTTAAGCAATAATCATATCTATAAATAAAGTTTATTTTTCAGACTTGTTTTTACTAGAGTTGCATTTGTACTTACTTGCTGTTGACCATACTGCTGGTCTTCTTGGTTAACAATGATTCCATCCAAACATATATTAGGACAATATCTTTGTAAATCCTCAAGTGTCAGTGAAGGTCCTTGCCCAACTATTTGATAATATTGAGCCATTGCAAATACTTAGCCTGAAATTGTTTTGTCACTTTTATGTATCATATTTATTTCGCAAGTATATGTTTTACGCGTGTTATAATTGTCGTTTATTTGTTTAAATCCCGTTAATGTAGTTTAAAAAAAAAACAAGTTATAACTAGACATATAAGTTCAATATTTCTCGAGTGGTATCATTTGTTTACAAAATGTTAGCCCTAAATCATAACTAACAGTATGTGTTTTAATGACTTCAAGTTATTGATTACATTTATTTTGGAACACCTAAACCTAAACACAATTGGGTTTATACATTTTGACGATTAACCATTTCATTGACAGATATTTCATACACCCTGAACTGTACATACAAGAACAGCAGCAATGACTTCGTGGATCGCGCGGACATCCCAACTATGGCGACGATACAAAAATCCATCCACTATCACAATTTTTTAACATTTACTAAATTGCACCACTAACTAACTAAATACAATAGATAGCACAAAAATCGCCTCTCGAACCGTTTAAAGAGACAGAATGAAATGGCTTCGATTCTTTTGATCCAACCTAAATCCTATTCAAGGTGATATTTTAACAAGGGGTAGAGAAACTTTATCTATCAGCTTCTTACCAATATTAACTAGGGACATTTTAAATGCCATATATATACAGTAAAATATAACTTTTAGCATCAAAATGCTAAAATTTTAACTCAAACGCCAAATCTAGAAGCAATTTACATTATGGCGTGTGTGTCACTTTTTTTTAATTGTACGTTTTTTTATCTGTGTTGCTACTTGAACTGGTACGAAATCATACGAAACTGATAATTATTTTGTAATCTGTTACCTATGTTTTTGTTGTCGAAATAGAGAAATTAGGATATTTGTTCTAACATGCATTTAAATGATTAAACCAAGGTATAAACATTATTCATTTGCATTTTTTAGTTTGTGACTAGTTTCCGTAATCCCCAAAATACATAAGAAACAAAATACTATTTTTTTTCAATAAAAGCTATTGCATGGTCATAATTTGTTTCCATGAGAAGCTGTATTCAAGAAGCTTCGAAACATTGTTAAATACTTTATTTTACATTGAGGAAGAATCCATTATCAACTCGCCCTTATTCCTTACGGAGGGTCGGCACAGTATGTGAATTGATACGAAATCACCAATTTATGCCAAAATATTAAATGACATTTTTTTAATGTCGAATATAAAATAGTGCTTTTTATTAATCTGTGCCGGTTTTATACTGCAACCATAGATAAAAAACTATACTGCAAAGAAAAACCGTACCCATGTTTATTCAATTTCGAACGAAATTTATTTTCTTATATTAACGATAGTGCTTGTTATATTATTAAAATCACGTTATTGCGGCGTGCGGATCTGATAATTACGTATAATAACACTTACGGTATTAAGTTAAAAGGGTTTTGTGGAATTGATTTCAGATTTTTTATTTACTTGATGACATTTTGTTGCCGAAGTCATTCTTTCGTGCAGTGCAAATGGATGATACAGTAGTTTCTCCAGGTATTTAGAATCATCTTAAACTATTTAATTTTAAAATAAATAGTGGAATATTTTTGACATATACTATACATGATTTTAAGGTAACAAAATGGGCGATTCAGCATCAGAAAGCGATTCCAGTTCCCTCGATGGCGTAGCAATGCTCCCTCCCAGTAATGTGTCTCGCGATCAGCTGCAGAAGAGAATTGAGTCCTTGCAACAGCAAAATAGGTGATTATTATAGCTTATATAAAATTTTTGCTTTTTATTTTCGTAAGCAAACTGACCATTATTCACCAAAATTGAAAATCTAGTTCATAAAGAATATATAAAAAATGCAATAATCCAACAAGACAAAAAGAAATGATATTTACATAATGGGTTTATAAAATATAAAATGGTGGTATTTAAATTCATGTGATAAATTCAGGTTTTCAAGCTATTTATTTTTATTATATTATTTATTTAAGATTAAAATTAGGTTTAGTAAAAATTAGATTTGTTACATGTTTGCATTCATAAAGAATTTATGTTAATGTTAAGTAATTCTGGTTTAAACTTTAGTTTTCTATGTTTATTTTATTTTCAGAGTATTAAAAGTGGAACTTGATACATATAAACTGCATGTGAAGGCCTTGCAGGAAGAAAATCGGGCTTTAAGACAGGCTTCAGTATCTATTGTAAGTCATCTGATATTCCTTTAAAATCATTAATAGTAAAAACTTTATTCTAATTGCCTGAACATTTAATTTTTACTTTATTTATACTATCTAATATAGCAGTGATTCTGTGCTCTAAACATTCCAAGATGCTTTAGTCAATGTGTGTGCTAAATGTTTTTTTTTAAATGATTTGCTTTTTACAGCAAGCAAAGGCAGAACAGGAAAAGGAATATATTTCTAATACACTTTTGAAGAAAATTCAAGCTTTGAAAAAAGAAAAAGAGACATTGGCTCATCATTATGAAAGGGAAGAAGAGTGTCTTACTAATGATTTGTCCAGGAAACTGAATCAAGTATGAATTATATCTAATTTATTGACTCTAAAATGCTCAATTTTTTCAAATGATATCACCATATAACATTTTCTTCTACAACCAATTAAAGTTAAATTCAATATAATAACGTGTTAAAGTTTTAACCATTTGTAACTTAAAATAAAAATAATCATATAAAGTTTCATTTTTAATTCTCAACTTTTTTTAGTTGCATCAAGAGAAATGTCGCTTAGAACTTACATTGGAACAAGAACAGGAATGTCTGGTCAATAAATTGATGCGTAAAATCGAGAAATTGGAAGCTGAAACTTTAGCTAAGCAAACTAATTTAGAGAGACTTCGTAGGGAAAAGGTAAAAATCTTTAATTTTATTCATAGATATTTCAGGTTAAGCTTTCATACCTATTTAAAAAAAAACTCAATTTTTTGTATTGAATTTGACAAAATCCAAATTCTAATATAAATGTTCTTGTATCATCATCATTTTCCTTTAGTCATAGTCAGTGGAACGGGATTTTGTCCTCCACATAACTACCATACATTGTCTCAGTCATCACTCCTTTCACACAATACATCCATCTCTTTCTATGTCTACCTCTACCAATGTACCCGTCCACACTCATAACTAACATTCTCCTTGTTACAAGCGATTCATCCCTCGTCATAACATGAATACATGTTCTTGTATATGTGTAGTATCAATCGTAATATATATTTTTTTAGGTAGAGCTTGAAAACACATTGGAACAAGAGCAGGAGGCTTTAGTTAACAGGCTTTGGAAGCGGATGGATAAACTGGAGGCCGAGAAGCGTTCATTGCAAATAAGACTGGACCAGCCTGTTTCCGATCCCGCCAGCCCTAGGTGAATTTGTTGTCAGAATTTATTTATTGCTTATAATAACACAGTCATAGTTTTATTAAATAACATGTCTTTGTCTTTGGTCCAATTATGTCTATTTGAATGATTTTTCTCTTTAAAAAATTGGATGCCTTGAATACTAGTGTAGTAATTATTTATTTAAAATTTCCATGCTTTTGTATGCATTTTAATGTTGTATGAAATTTGGAATAAAACAATGAATGGTTCTTTCTGCCAGGGACATTAGTAATGGCGACACAGCTTCTAATCTAAGTAACCACATTCAAACACTGCGCTCCGAAGTTGTCAAATTAAGGTAAGATAATTTATGTTACTATTATAAAGAGGGATAATTTGTGTTTTTATGTTTTTAAAGAATGAACTCTAAAACTGCTTAGCGGAATTCAAAAATTCGTTCATAATTAGAAAGTTACGTTATCAAAGAGTAACATAGGCATTTACTACTAGAATTTTTTTTGGTTACCTTGCGGGCAATGTCGCGAGCAGAGACTGTATATTTTATATACATAATATGTACTTAAAATGTTTGTTTTTTAATTCAAATGATTATTATTTTAAAAACATAGGGATTCATTTTTATGATTTTCATAAATATTATTTAGTAAGGTTTTGTGTTCTATGATCTCAGGTGTGGTCTTACCCGGTATGTATACAGATAAATTAAACCAGTTTAAAATACTAATGTTCATTTTTTGCACAGAAACCAATTAGCAGTATCGCAGAATGAAAACAAGGAAAAAATGCATCGTTTTGCACTTGAAGAGAAATATATACGAGACGAGAATGTTCGTTTGCAGCGAAAACTTCAACAGGAGGTGAGAATATGTTAAGAAATAGAAGAATAAGTGGTTGCAATGATTATCTCATTTTGTTTTGTATTTAAGAAAATAATATAAAATCTGTGGAACATATTAATTTATATAAATCTATTACAGGTGGAGCGACGTGAGGCTTTGTGCCGACATCTCTCTGAGAGTGAATCTTCATTGGAAATGGAAGAGGAGAGACAATTTAATGAAGCCATGGGCGTAAGTATTTTATTGTCATATAAAATTTACATACACATTCATTCATGGATGCTACAAACAATATACTTTTACTAATACTACTAATGTGAAAGTTTGGATGGATGAGTGCATGGATGTTTAGAGTTTATAGCTTAAACTACTGTATGACTGAATCCCGTCAGTCATCAGACATAGTTCTATATCTTTAACGGCTAAATACTGAAAAACATTTCAATACGTGGAATCTTAAATGATAAGACTATCCTTAAATTAAATGGTCATTAAAATTTTAAAGTAGGACAGATTGTGAGCAGCACTTATAAATCGAAGTGTTCAAGGTTTGTTTCAGTATTTGGCCGTTTTGTATGAAAATGTGTTAATTGTAGCCCCAGCAGTAGCGGAGTTAAGGGGTAAATAGGTTATCATGGTATAGGTTTGTTAAACGGAGGTAAGAATCACATGTAACAAGAACAACTTCAGTTATGAGTAAGTTCACCGGTAGAGGTAGACATAGAAAGAGAGAGATTGTATGATATGATCAAGAAGGAAGTGATTGAGATGACTGAATATAAACGTGGAATACAAAAGCGAGGTGGCCGGGAGTAGGGATGAAGAGGGGAAGATGTTTGTATGTGAGTGTTGTCGCAAGGCGCGGTCGCGCAGCGTGTCGTCGCCGGGCGGGTCGCGGCCGCTGTCGCCGTACTCGCCGCTGCTGCCCAGCGCCGGCCTGCCCATCGCCAGGCACAATATACACTTCAACTCACAGGTCACTCATATGAACATACTTACAGCGCTCACACCTTTGCTAAACTAACGCATGATTGTTTCGCAGCATTTTCAACTTTTTAAGGCATAAATAAAAGTAGTGTGCACACCTTCATATAAGCTCGTAGAAATGAAAGCGATACTAAACGGTTGTGCGATAATTTAGTCAAAGGTGTGCGCGATCTTAATCTATACATCTTTACTAAAATAATGAAGCGTAAACACACACTTCTTACTTTTGAAGGATGTTAGCAATGATAGTATATTTTTGTTCCTTTTTTTAATAAAAAAAAACTTTGCACTTACGACACGCTTTACGCTACACAGTACCACGCTATTATATTTGGGGATAAAAAGTTGAAAAAAGCCAGATCGCCGCAGTAACAGTAATTGTAATGTCAAAGGCTTTCGTTGTCATTTGTGTATTAGAATTTTGATATTTGCATTAGTTTTACAAATATAAATAAAAAGGTAATGTTGCTATAATTTCATGCGAATGAAGCCGCACGGAAACAGCTAATGTAAACTTGTTTCTTTGTACTTCAACTTTAAAGACTTGTACTTGTAGCCATTAATATAATTGTAACAGCGTAATTGTCTTCATTACTCCAGACAGAATGGATTGCTTTTCTAATATGTCTGAATAACATTGACAGACATAGGGACGGGACGTGTCTTCCAATTATCTAGTGTTGTTCGATTCCAGCATGGTACGGATTATTAACACTATGTAATTTATGTGTGCAGGCGCGCCGCGGTACCAGCGAGCGGTTCGTGAAGCCGGCAGTGCCGGGCGCGTCGCTGCTGTGCCGCGCCGGTCTGGAGCAGCCCCCCGCGCCCCCATTGCCCGCCGCGCCCCCCGCGCTCCCACCGCACACCCCCCGCGCCTCCACCCCCCACTCGCCCCTCGAGCAGCCCGCCAGCCCCATGGACACCTCCTCCAAGGACTAACCACGCGATGACATTCTTTACTATTTATGCTGAATTCATTTGTTATTTAAAAAAAAAATCGCCATTTGCTGCCAGTTGCAAATAGGTAATCGATAATATCTGCTGAAATTACGATTAAAAAAAACACCTATTGCAGCCAGTTGTAAAAAGGTAATCGACAAATCGACAATATCTGCTGAAATTACGATTTTTGTTATAGTTAGGTCATCGATTCCAGATGTGATTGCTGTGACCCGAACAATGCTTTGAGCCTAAATTGATTTAAGATATGCGATAGGCTTCGCGATTTTTTTGTGCAATAGCATTTATTGCTTTAAATTTGCAATTTATTAACTTATTAACCTTTCCAATTTTTGATCTATGCTAAAAAAACATTTCTCGCATTATTTTCTATTGTTATTTATTTAGTAAAAATACCATTAAAATGTATAATTTGAGTTACAAATGTAAATGTACTGAATACAGAAGTTTGTTTTAACTGCTTACCAGCGTTACGTAAGAGGCTTTAAAGCTATCAACATTAATGAGCCATCTAACATAGACTTTGCAACTGATTTTAATTTTTATTCTTAGACTTATTAACGATATTAATAAATTGCTAGATTGTCAATCGAGTTCTTATGCCAAAACTTTACAATACCTGACTTTTAAATAGAATCTTGTAATCAAACGCTTTTAATTATTTCTCGATTTAACTAAAAAATTATGAAAAACATTATTATAATTTTAACAGAAATGTTTTTAAATGACTTTTTTTTTAATAAAACTGGAAAATAACTTATATTTGTACTACGAGTTAGTATTTTTTGGTTATGAAGGTTAATAATTACGTTCACGTGGAAATTGTTTCTCTGTAAAGAAAGATTTTTTTTGATAAAAATGAAAACCGACGAAAAATGTACGTCACTAATACTACGCGTGTAAAGTCAGCTACACAAAGGTGTAAACATTTACGAAGGTACAAAAACTTGTATATGCCTTATGTTTCAAAAATATTCGTGCACGTATCCGTTTTCTTTCAACCACGAATAAATGATATTGACAAAATATGGATAAGTAATATTTAAACCAAAGGTCTGTTCAATGTTTTGTAAATGTGTACAGATTTATGTAGCTGACTGTACAATTGATATGAACAAACATCTGATGTTAATTTTGTACCACATTGGGGGAAAATTTGACTTGAGAATTTTCCATCTGTTGAAAAACAATTTACAAGAATAAAAAATCTTGTCAGCATAACCAGAAATATTAAATCTTCTTCTTATTGCATAAAAGTATGGAATATCTGTATGTACATTAGAAAGTGATGTAATAAAGAAACCAACTGAATCGCTACAGGCTAAGGTTTTTATATTGTTGGTTAGGTTATGCATGTTAATAATTGTATTGAAAATAATAATGACATGTGTATACCATGTCTTTTAAAAGTTAAATGAAATTGTTGAACAATTGTTCTTAACTTTTTTGATTCGTTTTCGGACAAGACATTTAACATCGGCATAATAATCCTATTTACCGATTTAGAGATAAAAAAAAGATTTGAGTATCATATAGACGAGCTCAAAAATAAATCGAAAGTAAATTAAGGTGATTAATAATAATTATGGTTATACATTATTATTGTCCTCGCTGTGAACAGCTAAAGATTTTCTAGTATAGTATATAGTGATTTGTAATATAACTGCGAAATCGTTGGATTATGAAATATACGTCCTGGATATACGCTCACTGCCCTAGCGACTGCTGACTCCCTTTTGAGCAACGCAAAGGCTTGCAATTCTGCTAATTTTGATAAATACGCTTGTGGGGAGTTCGCAAGTCCATTTGACATTTAATCGCACTGCAACCGAGTTGAATGCAGCATATTACTGTTATTTATGTTGCCAGTAAATTAATATTTACTGGTAATGCGTTATGTTTTAATTCGTTATCGTAACGCATTTATTTATATAAGATGGATATTTTCTATGTGTTACATAAACATTAGGTTATTTGTCTTACACCTGATGTGATTGAGTACGATATATAGCTTAGATACGATGGTAACCATTTTGGCTTTGATAAAATGGCAGTGGGTTTTGGCTGTGTATAAAATTCACTTGTGAATAAGGGTTGTAGGTAAAAGATTGTATTGGATACTGGGCGTGTAAACTGCTACTTGTTAGTGTCGGTGTATGATATATTTTTTTTTCGTATGTTTTGTTGTGCTCTCAAGAGCGTGTTTGTTGTGTTCGGTGGACACTCGCGGGGTAGAGCCTCATTGCCTACTGACTCTATTCAACTGTGCAAATTTTCACTTAAACGTTTTATTTTTCAATGTTAATAAAGAAAATATATGCATTAATATTATACTGTGTTTGAATATACCTTCCCTATTCCTTATCAGATATTTCTCTAATTTTATAAAGTTCCAAGTAAACTACAAGTTAAATGACATGCTATCTGTACCACAATATGAGTATAAAGAATAAATTGGCTTTGTTTATCAATCTGAGAGTTTCGACTACATAACTCATGAGATCAGCTTTTCAAGTGAGCTCATATAATGGCCTTCTCGTTGGAAAATTTCCGATATTGTTAGAAGCCGTTTTAGGGTTATCCTTCATAACTATTAAGTCAGCACTCACGGGCACGGTAGAAAGCAGTAATTTTAATTCAATTGACACTAAATATGTTATTTGTATATTATTTTTAATTAAAAAATAATTTGACATTAAAATTAGATGTTAACGAATTTTCGACCACATAATAAACTTACAGATCATTCGTTCAAATGTGGCACTAATCCATATTCATTCGCTTAGAAGTAGAGTAGTATTATTGTCCACTAATTGTCATAACTCGGCAAAAAATGCGCACAGTATAGGAAAGGATACAAAATAAATATATTGATAACATTGGTCGGCGGCATAGCCTCTGTTGCTGATTTTTGTCGCCATTCGGCACCTTTAATGGTCAGAAATAATCGTGGTTTACACACGCGTCATAAACCTAAGCAAACCGGAGACAGTCAGGACGACGGTGTTTACCTTGGTCGCAGGCGCTGTTGGCTGTTCGCTGCTAGGGTTACAGGTAACACGATTTGCATAATGCCTCCCACGATGATTTTTTTAAACTGAAATATTTTATGATCGACAAACTATGGACTGACCAAAGTAGCCGATTCACCAAGTATTGCTAAAGTGGACAACTACGAATAAATAGTTTTAGCATAAAACATTATGTTGATTTCTTTATATAACAGTTTCCTGCGTCTCTGTCCGCGTAGAACCAAAAAAAAAAAGTAAGTAACTTATGCATTCTTTCTGACTATCTTCTAAATCTATGCCCAATTTTATCGAGATCCATTCAGCAATTAACTACAAACTAACAAACATCCATCTATCCATCTAATTTTTCGCAGTTATGCATAATATTAGATTAGATAGATATGGGATGGGTCTTGTAGGCATGTTAACATGTTAATATTCAGTATATCCCTACATTACAAAATTAAAAAAGATATATATAATTTGATATGTACATGTTTTATGTACCCCTACTTCATACCAAGACTCGCGTTAACAATTTAAATAAAGATCATGTGAACGTATTCAAAGTGAAGCGAGTTTGAAATTTAGATTCAAATAGAAACGCAAAGAGCAGCCCGAAAGGCGACAGTCGTAAAATGTAATTGTTTGCTAACCACGAATAGTTGGCGTAGCACTATTGATCCTTCCAATAATTATCGAACACGTTTCATGTCACCATGTTTAAGCGCGTGTTTAAACACGAAAGTGGACGAGCGACGGCGACGCGACGAGCCCGGCTTGTTTATAAGTTTACGTACGGAATCGTAAAGTCGAGGTAGGCAGTAGGTAGAGCTAACAGAAAATATGAGACGGCGGACAAGACGACTGGACGGCGCGAAAGCATTTTTAGTATACAGTATTAGTTTCGGGTCCTGTATATGCACATTTTTAAACTTGTAGCTTTTATCATAATATTCAAGCTTTAAACGTTATTGCGGTAGACGATTACCCGTAATACAAAGTACAGAGAATTGAACGCGGAACTTTAAATTTATGTCAAAACATAAGACGAGCGCGCAACTACTTACTTAATGTGTACAATAAATCTTGTTTCATTCTCACTAATCTCGTCAGTGTGTTGTTTTTGATTTTGGTTGTGACACGAGATGATGTCACGATTTAAGCAACGTTTTGATGCTGTACCTATACACCCGGATGCAAAATAATTCGTCACGAATTACTACACTTAGGCCAATTAGATTCTTTTGTTGCATAATAGAGTTTTCATTATTGATCAATAGAATTAACTTTAACAGTTATGAAAAATGTATGACCATCACAAATAAAAACCCGCCGTGATTATAGAGTAGACGGGTGGAGTAAAGGAAACTTATATTTTACTAAAAATAAAATAACTACAGATTATAAAACGTTTGCACGAAGCGGTGTAAATGTTTCGCTTCTAGTGTATTAAATGTTCCCGGGGCCCCTAAAATAACTAAATTAATGAAAAAAGGTTAAATCTTGAGAGTTTGTACAAAATATAGGTGGTAAACGTTGATTTTCTATCAAGTAAATTCGAAACCGCTATCTTTAGCGAGTCGTTAACGCTTCGACAAACGGCTGTAAAACATTCGGCGCAATTTGAACACCGCGAAGGCAAGACTGTTGCCACTCAAACATACTTTATAGATTTAATTGTAAAAGTAATTACTTTTTCTCACGTACGCTTTGCGGTTAACAGGTGATACCGTTCATGCAAAACCAATCGATGTTAAGATAACGGCCGTTTGTTAAAATCATACCACTAAGCTAATCGTAGCATCTAGTAATTGTATATCTCTCTTGACACGTACGTGATAGAATAAAATCGTTAATTCATTATGCAAATACTGAAAATGACACTTAAAAATAGAAATGGAACATTTGATTCGATTTCTTTTGCTTTTTATTATTTTTTTACGAAATTTACCATGATAGCAAAGATTAAAAATGACGAGAAAGTACAAAATAAAGCTACTTTTATTACAAACAATCTAAAAGATATCGTGAGTCAGCAGAGAGCGTACCTAGAGCACACACTCGATGGTTTTAGTTCAAGTTAAAACTAATATTTGTTAACAAACAAAGTTGGTGTGAGCGTAGTCTAGACAAAGATATCTAGCAATGTATTTGTTATATGAAAATATTCATTCCGGCTGTATTAGTTGTCAATAGGATCACTATTATGTATATTCAGGTTAGTCGATTGTTCACAAAGTTACTTCTAAAGAAGGGTACTCTGAATTGATTATTACCGCAAGAACCTGACCTTTCTATAAGATAAGGAAAGAAGCAAGTAGTTTAAAAAATGTTTTATCTTTGCCCTTATCCTTTTTAATGGTGTGATAATTAAGATTAAAAGCAATGGGATCTTCTTTTTTTTTCATTTTTTATCCGTAGAGGCAGGTCGGACTTGATGGTTTTAAAAAAACCTAGAAATGTATGTAATGTATTTTTATTCTAAATATTAATAGTGTCGTGTATAAAGCACACAGTGATGATTTTTTTTTTAATTCTAGCTAGATCATGACTAAATGTAAAACAAATCAAGATTCATGCGAATTACAAACATCAAAGTACAATATTTCATACAAAGTTCTTACTTCACATATCTTAACCATAAATGATGTCTTACTCATAAGCGTCGGGTAATCCTCTAAGCCGTTATTATGTATTCAATCCGAAGACAGATATGGTGCGAGATAACGAGGCTAAATAGTATTTACGCTAAGGTGTTAATTTCAGGAGTTTAGAGTAGCGTGAATTTTATTTATATGAAAAGTTAATTCATGCCCTGCTAGCGCGTAGTGTTTAAACGGCGGAGTTAGCATGGGGCTCCGAATAAACAGAGTTGCTTGTAAGTACGCGCGTGTTCCCTCGACGCAGCGGTACAGCTGTCCTCCGTGCTCGCAGCTCTGACCATCTTACGATTCAACACTTTTCTTTTGACACCTTACATTTGCACCTTGGAATTTAAACTTCGACATTATATTAGTGCGAAAAACGTGCCCGTCGGTAACATGGTCTGATCTGAAATCTTTTTTCTTTTAATATTTTTGATACTATTTATAATTTTAAATAAAGTTTTTCTTATTTGATCTTTATATAAGAAAACTACATACGCTTAGGTACAAACAGCATCCGCAACGCGGGTCCGATGTTGATCTAGAGTAATGTTTTGTACAAACAAACGAATTAAATGAAATTGGGGTCCGGTAGTTTCTAAGAAAGGACAGGCAAGTTTAAATAAGCCGTGTATGAAAAGTTTGTACAAACTCCTTTGAACATCGTTATGGATGCTTATTTACTTTGAATATTTTCAAGATATACTTATGGAATACTAATAACTATTCCTAAAGATATATTGGAAATTCCTGTATTCCCGCTGATTCAGTTGTTGTTTTGTTAAATGTGTGGTAGGCATACCAATGTTCTAAGCAGTAAATTAATAATTTAAGTTACAATTCTTATCACTGTCTGTGTGTCTTATCACATTATTTTTCATTCAATTTCTGATATTATCATATAGAACCTAGCGAAGTTCATTTGCGAACAAGGAAATGAGAATAAACCGGTTAGAATTTTTTTATCTTGCGATCATTTGACATACATAGGATGCCTAGAAAATAATTCTTTAGCTTATGTGCAAGTTGTACGTCTGTAACGTTCTGTTATAACGGTCGTGTGTTTAAAAATGAAACGTTTCTGTGGAGAGCATTGAGCCCGGTCGTTGTTTGAGGTTTCCTTTAGCAATTAGCACCCGGCCGGCCGGCGGACCGTAACTGGGTGAGGCGATGGAATGCTGACTCCGTGCTGGCGGCTGCCACTGCCTACTCCAAGATAGTGTCGATAGTGCGCGGCCCCTTGTGAAAGCTACCTATGTTTTATCGGCGAATAGCACAATAACATCGATGCGCTGATTATATCTACATCTTGTTTTTATGGAACTGTTCACTTTATGGCGACTTGTATTATTTTCTTGTATCAAAATATCTGATATCATAAAACTTTTATTTTACATTAAAAATATGATAGTTATGACATTAGAAAAGACTTGTAAAAAAGCAGAGGTTTATACTATTTATTCAAATATGAATTAAACAAATGGGTAGCTAGGTACAATATAGAGATTGATAGGTCAATCTTTACATTACAACAAGAAAAAAGTTGACAATATTACCTTTTTTAAAATAATTGTCAGAGTCAAATAGTTTTTCAAATATCTACTATAGATCCAAATTCATAGACTGTATTCTAGATGCAATGCAGATTTTATACAGAGTTATGCAGCCATTT